CATCCACTTGATTATTTTTAAAATTCTTAAGTCTGTTTCCAAACAGTTGAGCCACCTAAGTTTAGGTCTCCCTATTTTTCGGGTGCCGAATGGTTTGGCCGAGAAGATCTTTTTAGTTACTCGATTTTCATGCATTCTGCACAGGTGTCCTGCCCATTTGATTCTCTGAATCCTTATATATTTTATTAAAGGATTTATAGAGTTCAGGTTAGTTCTTCTTCTCCAGATATTGTTATATTTTATGCCACCAAAAATACTTCTAAAAATTTTTCTTTCAAAGACAGAAATTATACTTTTAGTTTAAATGAAATTGGATGTCTTAAATAAAATGAACAAAAGTATTAATAAAATTGTCATTGGTTTAGGTATTAAACAAAATGAGTTGTTGTTAAATCCCTTTTTCCATAAATCTCGACATTTTCTGTAACTTGACCTCTTAGCCCACATTATGTCGAGTCTGCAGGGCTATATTGTATGACATGCATGACCAAACTGTGGCTCACGAGTTGTATGTGGCTTCTTATGATAAAATATCTTTGTTATAAAGAATAACTATTTTTAATGTTAAATAGCAGTTTAAACTAGATATCGCAGTATCAAAGCACACTTTTCATTAAAAAAAAAAAAAAAAAAAAAAAATTAAATTTTTTAAAATTATATTTTTCATATATTTATTAAATTATATTATATTTTGAAATGTGTTAGTAATGAACAAAGGAATGTAATTGCTTTTTGGCTGTTCTCTGTCCTGGCAGTGCTATTCTTAGAATTCAAAGAAGAACAAAATTCAAAGAAGAGGAAGATAAAAAGACAAGCAGACTGTGTTAATATTATAGTTTAAAGCGTATTATATGGCCTTATCAATATATTTGCATATTGGTATAATTTACATTGAGAACCAAGCAAAATCTATTCTACAATCTTAATTTTATTTACTGAATTAATTAAATAATATAAGTTTAGATTTGATCAGATATTTAGTCTTCTGTTAGCTGTGAGTAAAAAGTCAAATAATTGTAAACACTCTAAAGGTGTTATTGTTTTCGCTACACCCAGAGCTTAAATTACAGTGGAGCCCACTGAATCTTGGTTCTGGTGCTTCTCACTTTTTTGAGATAAATCATAATTTTAGCTGGAGCAGTCTAAATAAGAGGCCCCAGCACTTCTTTTATGAAACAATTTCAGCAAAAAATTCTTTTGCCCCTGTAAAATTTTATTTTAGTAATAAGTAAGCTTGAAAAATAATTTCTAAGATTGTTTAAAAATCCTTTCTTTTGATGCATGTGTTTTCTTACCCAAGAAGCCAAGAATAGAGGTTGAGCTTTTTACTTAATGAAGAGGTCCTACCCTTTTGTCAAAACTTCATTCTCTAAGAAGTGCAATGAATTTATGTGAGTTTGTTTGAGAATGGATAAATTTTTCATTCCCGAAAGTACTTGAAACGATCAGCCTGTCTATGTTATTGTGCCACTAATTTGGTATCGTTGGTTTCAACTACTCACGATTTACAATACCGCGAGAAAAGACAACCATTGTTTATATTACCACTCCAAGTTACATCTTAATGAAACAAAATAAACAGCTGAAATGCATCTAGTGCTAGTGACTTCCCTTGAAAAACAGCATCTACATACTTTTTGGAACAATGTAATAACCAAATATGGGAGGACAACTAGAATTACATTGACAGGGGGTCGTGGGCGGAAAGTGTTGAACTTGCCTTTCTTTGTTTTCATACTTCCAATGCTTTGTTAAAATTTCCTTCCATATTTTCATACTGTTTCTAGCATTCTGTCTAATCTCATTAGTGACACTTTCACCATTTTAATTTTCTTCTTTGGTGCACTAGAAAAAGAATTATCTTTGTTTCCGTCATTCTCTGAAATAGTACATTATTTTTTATATTCAGGGTTTAAATTCACTTGGAACTCTAAATAAGCTGAAATCCATTATTTTATTTTATTACTTAACTATTTGTCATTAATTCAAAAATTAATTAAATTTTTAACTAAGATGAAATCCTTTATTTTATTATTTAACTATTTGTTATTAATTCAAAAATCAATTAAATTTTTAACTGTCGCGTCACATTTAATTTAATTTAAATGAATTAATTATTTTAGTAGTTGCACAAATGTTTATTCAAGTTCAGTTGCATAAGTCAGTAAATTAAATTTTTTTAATTATGTCAAATATACTGTTAACAAAGCGAAGTAAAGATTCAGCTATCAAGAAATACATTTATGGTTTTCTAGTCATTTAGATTTTTGAGCAACTATAGATTAATTAAATTTGAAAGGTAATTTCTGCCTTAATAAAGAGTGTCCAGTAAAGAAAAATTTTAAATTGCTTGCTATGTATTATTTACGTATGTCATAAGCTTTGTTAATTATTTGATTTTAAAAAAATTCAGAATACATTTTACTGTTCTTAGTTATGTAACTATCAATGTACAATTTTTAGAAAATCTAGCTGTGGCTCTTAATATCTCAAAATTCGACCATTTAACTCCAGTTGACATGAAGTTTGGTACTCTTTGGTGTATTGTATCTATACACACAGTTCATGTATATATTTATATACAACGTAATTAATGTTCTTGCCTTTTTTGATATTGCATTTCGTGAAGAGGAAGTGAAGGAGACGAAGAGAGAAAAATGAGTGATTTGCATTCCAGAAAATTGATGGAAGATTAGTGTAATTACAAACCTGCACTAATACAGGCGTAATACACACAGCAACAATAGCAGCTCATCCAGTGTCAAACAAAAATGAATTTGCAGTTGTTTGCTGTATGACTTTAAGGTGGGTATGTCAGTTGCCACTGCAGGTCATCGAATACATCAGTCGTTTAACGAGAATGCCATGAATGAACTCACTACCAGGCATTGATTCTAGAAGATTTGAGTCTTTGTGATAAACCCTGCAGTCAGCACAGGTGCTGGGTGACAACATCTTGAAGACAGCCATAGAGGAGGACAGCAGTCAAATGTGGGGTGAACTTATTGAGCACTTCCAAGGGAACAATGAGACTTTACTTGCACTGCATTGTGAAATGGGCACACACATTGTCGGCAGCCAACAAAGAAAAATAAGTGACAGACTGTTTGTCATTGTTTTGTTTGCACCATAACACATTCATATTTCATTGAGTTCTCATGAATGATGTAAAGTGGATCCAGCATGACACTTCCAAGCATACCAAACATTACCTTCATATCTCATGACCACCTCTGCACAAGATCGTGTTGTGTCTGGTGAACTAGTTGCCAGGTGGTATGTCATAAGCTAGCAGCGGCAGCAATACAAACCAAAACGTCTAGAGAAAACCGCCAATTGGAGAAAAAGTAACCGGGGAGGGGGGTTGCTACACTTGCCATGGTCATGGTCATAGTCATGAGGTAAAATGGTGGAGGGGAAATGAACCTTTAGTGTCTGTTCTAAAATTGCTGCCTCAGTGTGTAATCATTGTTGTGTCAGTTTCTAAATGTTAGTTGAATGTAAAATAGAATTCTAGAACTGTAAGCAGAAGAATGTCATATGTTACAATCTTAAAAGACTGAAGACATGCCTTGAAAAAATTAAAGTATTTTTAATAAGATTTGTGAAATAAAATATTGAAACCGAGCAATTATTAAATTTCTGCCTTTTTTTAAAAAAAACATTAAGCAAGCATTTGTAATAGATCATCTTTTATTAGAATCTTTGATTTGATTATAAAGATTAATAAAATTTCTTTTTATTAATTAAAGATTAATAGAATTGTATTAATAAAAGTTTATATACTTATACAGTAAAAAGTCCATAATCCGTCGGGACTTCGGCAATTCTGGATTAGAGGTTTTTCCGAATTATAGATCATCAATTTAAATCTGGTAAGATGGCATGCAGAAATTATACAATTAAAAATGTGAAACCGTAATTTATGAAATAAAGAGCAATTATGATTTAAAGAGTATCAAAATTTACACACACACACACACAAAAAAAAAAAAAAAAAAAGAAGCTTAATATTTATTTGTTTACTTTATTAAATATTTCTTTTAGTGTAAGTTATTTAAGTTGCTTCGTTTTTTGTGGTAATACTTTCTCTTTAATTCTTTCTTCTATAAACAGACATAATTTCTTGTTCAGTTACAAAGTTCCATTGTTCAAATTCTGTAATTGCTGTGTTGAGAATATTGACTAACTTGTCAATCGAAATTTTTTCGTTTTCAATAACAATAACATTCAATAACATTTTGTTTTCATTCTCTGTCACTTTCTACACTATCGGAAGCGTACATGTGTAAACACTTTACTGGCTTTACACGCATGCATAGCAGATGCACGCATCAAACGTGCATGCGTAAATGCATTACACGCATGCATAAGTTTGCAGCTTTGAGGTTCGGATTATAGATCATTCCGGATAATGGACGTCCGGATTACGGACTTTGTACTGTAATTGTATTAATAAAAGTTTATATATACCGTTAATACAATTACAGTACAAAGTAAAAGATTATACTTTGTACTGTAATTGTATTAACAGTTATTAAATTATGTATTAATAAAAGTTTATATACAATTATTAAATTATATACAGCTATTATATACAGTTAATTAAAGATTAATAAAAGTGTATCAGTTGATTTCTTTTCCAGCAGCACTGAAATTGCTTCCAGCAACAGATTCTTCATGAAATGTTTTGAGCAAATTTAATTAGTTTTTTTTTTTTTTTTTTTCATAATAAATTCTGATTTAATAGAAAATTAAAATCTTACCCTGGGAGAGTAAAGGCTAATTCCTGAGCTCAATCTTATCAAAATAATCTTCATCAGTCTGTAAATTTGAAGAATTAAAAGTGTTTTAATTTTTTACAGCTTGATGAAAAACAAAAAATTGTGACCATTTGAGATGATCTTAGCACTCACATGCAGTGTTCTCCTTAATATCTTATAAAACTTTAGATTTTATTAAGTTTTAAAATGTAATATGATTAAAACTTCATTGCAGATATGGCTGAAATAGAAAATGCTGTGAAGTCTGTCATTTCTACACCTAATGAAGATAATAATTGCACAGAAAGTAGTAATGAAGAACTTGTGGAAACCAAAGAAGAGGAACATGATCCATATTCATATACAAAATTAAATGATTTTACTTCAGAAATATTTAAAATTGAGCTTTTAAATTTGCCTAATTATGTTGGCTATGGTGTAAGTTTTCTATTTTGAACCTGCATGTTTTCAAATTGTCTCATTTTAATCCTTTAGATATATCATTTTGATAATGTAGATTTTAAAGCTTATCTATTAAATTTATGCAGTTACAGAAATGTGATAATATTAGTCCTAAAATAGCTACAGTAAGTAGTCATAGGCAAATGCGGTATGCATGAGTTAACTCTGTTGAAGATGAGAATTTATCTGTCATATTTAAATTTCATATTTGTTCAGATTTCTTGTTGTACGCTTGTCTAGATGCTTTACCCTTTTTAATCCTTATTTTTTTCATTTATTATTATTTTTAAAAATCTTTTGGTAATGTGATAAAGGTGAAAAACATTTTGTACTGAATCTTGCAAAAAATTATCTAGATGTTAAAGCAAATTATTTGGTTTTATGTTGTTTCAGTTTTAATATTTCAGAAAATATTTATGCATTGATATAAGAATGGAAAACTTCTGATGACATTTTAAGACTGTATGGAATACTTATTTTTTCATTTATTATTATTTTTTTAAAAATCTTTTGGTAACTTGATAAGGGTGAAAAACATTTTCTAATGAATTTTGCAAAAAATTAACAGATGTTAAAGCAAATTATTTAGTTTTAGGTTGTTTCAGTTTTAATATTTTTAGGAAATATTCCTGCTTGGGTATAGGTATGAAAAACTTTTGATGACATTTTAAGACTTATGCTATTACTTTAATAAATGCAGTATAGATATCTGAGATATTTATCAAAAGCAAATTAATGCTTATTTCTAAGAAAAGTTTATTCTACTGTTATATCTAGTAACCAAATGCCCCAAACATAATATCTGAAGCAAATGCTAGATATTAAGTATAAAAAAATTTGAGCCACATGATAAAAATTTTTAACATTATCATGTCTTAAGGTAAAATATCAAAATGGTGATGAGCTGATAGAGTAAGTTATAAGAATAACGGATATTACGTGATCATTCAAAGCATTTTAGCTATACATGCTATATAGCACAATTTTTAGCAAAGCTTCTTTGTATGGTATATAATTAGCATCTGTGTTAATGGGCAGGACCATTTGTATGTAGGGGTGAGGGAATGGGTACCTAAATTTGTGAATCCTGAAGTCCTTTTGAGAAATTAATGATAGGGGAAAAGACAGACAAAATCATCTGATTTCATCTTCAGAGTGCTGTTGATCATAACTGGGTTGGTCGTTGTATGGTTTATTTTTTTGTAACTGAATATTTCATTTCATTAGTACTAGTTTTGATGTAATGATGTTGTGAAGAGTATACAGTGGCTCCCAAAAGTGTTCGAACACTTACGATTTTCGTTGAAACAGGGCTCTATCCATTAATCAAAAGTAAACTTTCTGAATGAGATTTTAAAATAAGATCTATAATCTATTCATAAGAAAATTACATGAAATATTTTTAAAATATAGAGAAACTTTATTTTTAAGAAATTAATATTCAAACAATGACAAACATCTTATCTCACAAAAGTCTTCGTACACTTCAAAAAAAATCTTGACGTATTAGTAAATATTTTCATTTTTCATTAAATTAATATTTAGTAGGATATCCTTTAGCATCCACAACAACTTTTAAACGTCTGGGAATAGATTTTAGTAGTTTTTTTTGTAATTTCTGTATCAATGTTCATTCATTCTTCCATCATGACTGTTTTGAATTTGCTTTTCGTTTTGATGTCGTGCTTTTGTACTCCAGTTCTCTCTAAATGTGTTCTATGGGGTTTAAATCTAATGACTGAGGTGGTGTTTTCAAAACCTGTGGACTATTACCGAGACACCACAGGTGAACGTTGAGACCCAAATGCTTAGGATCGTTATCATGATTAAAAGGAAAGTTGTTTCCAATACCCAAATTTTGGCTGATAATTTTAAATTGTCTCTTAAAATATTTAAATAAAGAGAATGATTCATTATGCCATCAGTAAATACCAAATTACCTAGTCCTGATGCTGCCATGCACCCCCACACAAAAGAACACCTCCACTGCCATGCTTAACTGTTCCAACTAAGTTCTTAGAATGAAGTTCCTTATTTTTTCCATACAGTTATTCGACCATAAGAACCAAAAATGTTAAATTTGCTTTCGTCAGCAAATAGGACATTATTCCAGTACATTTCGGGTGTATTTATCATTGATTTTGCGAATGAAAGCCTAAGCTTTCTGTTTTTCTCACTAACAAAAAAATTTTTACGGGCAGAATGCCCATGTAATCCAGCTTCTCTGAGAACTCGTCGAACAGTTTCAGGTGAAATTGAAGTAGAAAACTTTGCATTAAATTCTGCAGAAACTTTTACAGCACTCAAACGTGGGTTTTTCACAAATTTTGTAATAATAAATCTCTTGTCACGTTTAGTTAACTTTCTTGGTCGACCTTTTCTTACCTTGTTTTCAATCCAATTTTCTTCTTTAAAGCATTTTATCACATACTGCACTGTAGAATGAGATAAATTAACTTATTTAGCGATATTTTGAATTGATTTGCCACTACTATGGTGAAAAATTATCAATTTTATAATGCTGTTTGTAATTTCTTTACTACTGCAACCCATTTTTCAATAATAAATAGAATATTATGAAGTAAACAATAAAAAATTAAAGCAAACGATTTTTTAAATTCCACCACAATGCAAAAATTAAAAAAAAGCGGCAAATGGTATTTCTAATTTTGATTTTATCCAAAAATAATGTTTGTCATTTTATTATTAATTTCTTAAAAATAAAGTTGCGCTATAGTTTAAAAATATGTCATGTAATTTTGTTACGAATAGATTATAGATCTTGGTACAGTACAAAGTCCGTAATCTGGACTCATCGGGACTTCGACGATTCCGGATTAAGGGTTTTTCCGGATTATAGATCATCAATTTAAATCTGGTAAGATGGCATGCAGAAATTATACAGTTAAAAATATGAAACTGTAATTTATGAAATAAAGAGCAATTATGATCTAAGGGGTATAAAAAAAAGCTTAATATTTATTTGTTTACTTTATTAAACATTTCTTTCAATGTAAGTTGTTTAAGTTGCTTCGTTTTTGTGCTAAATACGCATGCGTAAACATTAGACGCGCATGCATAAAGCATAAAAAAACATTTGTGGCTTTGAGGTCTGGATTATAGATCATTCCGAATAATGGATGTCCGTATTACAGACTTTGTACTGTATTAAAATCTCATTCAGAAATTTTACTTTTAATTAATGGATAGAGCCCTATTTCAATGAAAATCATAAGTGTACAAACACTTTTGGGAGCCACTGTGTATATAAATTAGCATGATATTTTTATGCCATTATGCAACTTAATCTTTTAATAACTCTAATGGCATTATTTGCATCATTTTATTTGTATACATTTTCTTGGCTGTATTTATACTTCTTTTCTTTACTTGCATCGCAGTTATCATTTTTAATCAAAATCATTTCTCGTATTAGCATGAGATATTAAGTTGAATGACTAAACATTTTTGTTTAAAAAAAGTTTCATGTATTTTTATAACACCGGTTTAATCATAATATTCTAGATAATGTTCAGAGGGTGTTTACACATTTTAAAAATGATTTTGGGGCAGTTTACTAAGTGTTTAAAATGTAAAGAGTATTTTTTAAATGTTCTATCTGATAGCCTTTTTTCTGGACTATAAGTCTGCATCAAGATTTCATTGATGCAGAAGAGCTTTTCATAAAAATTCCAGTGGTACTGATTTCTATTCCTCATCCACTACTTCCTTAGTTCATAAATTGTGGTGAGTCTAGACTTAGAAAGAGCTTTTTTTAAGAGATACAATAGTCCATAGGGGAAATCTCAGGGAACTTCTGAGGAATGTGCTAAAAAGGTATACATACAATATCTGTATCAGATATCATTTCATTTTTTTCAAGGAATGTAAGGTACTTTTTGAAGTATGATTTGTTGTGTTGTCTTGATGAAGTTTCACTCTTTGAAAGTCATTGGGATAAAGAAATGGAATTTCTTCTGTAGATATTGAACATAAAACTTTCTTTTGATAGAACTTTGATTTAAAATTTTTTTTGCATTCTTTTTATTTTTAATTTCACAATATAAGAGAATCCTGCCACAATCATAAACTCATTACTGAAACTTTCTTTGCATTGATGGAACCAGGTGCATTCATTTTTTCCTCTTCATTTTTGATAATGAATAGACTTTTTTTGCTGCACTCATTTAGGTAAACCCATACATTATTGCTACAGATTTATTTAGACTTTGCAATTGATTTCTGCATTGGTAGATTTCCTCTTGTTACCAGTGACTGAACTTTAGAAACATTATAAAGAGTATGTACCTTTTTGGGTATTTGTTTTGAGTTTTCTTTCCATAAAGAGGTGATGACTGATGTTTTTTTTCTTTTTCCGATTAAAAACATGGCTTATTTAGTATTTAAAAATGTTAATACCATGCATTTCACAATGATTTAAATTGTGGAATAGGAGTAGTATTTCTCTTTGGAAAATGCAAAAGTCTATCCTTGAATCCACAGCTTGTTTACACGTAATATTTTGAAAGAATAATAAATTTAAAAGTAGCAGATGATATTTCTCATTTTACATAATAAGCTGTTGCCAGAAACTTTTATTCAAAGACTTTTTTGAGTCAATTCGCAGTAGGCAGATAAATAAGCCATAAATATACAGTTTTTTAACTTTTATTCTTTTAGTTTTTGTTCAGTTTATTTTGAATATCGATATGATTCTAAGTTATTTTCTTGTTCAGAATTTTGTTATCTGAGAGTAATTTGCAGCAACTCCGTATTACCACCAGAGAAGAAGGATTTTAAGAACTGAACTTCTAAAGTTTTTAATCAAGTTTGGGCTAATATTATGCAAATTAGTTGCAAGAATTGCAATTTCTCTTGTGTTCGTTATCTGCTTGAGGTGCTTTTTCCATATATCACAAGCATTAAAGAAATAAAAATGATTATATGATATAAATGAAATAATAAAATAGTAAATATTGGCTTAATTATCAATATAAAATGAACTTGAAATCATCATGTTGTTTTCTGCAAAATGTTCAACAAATGTCTTGTGAACTAATAAATATTCAGCCTTACTACTCATATTAAAAATGCAGTTTTGTTTTTTCATTCTTTATAAAATTTACAAACAGATTTCTTTTATCAGTATGTGAAATTAAAGTTTGATTTTTAGTATGTGATTTTTTTTTTTAAGTGTAAGAGATTACCAATCTCAATTTTGATACTGAGCCTTTTTTTTTTTTGTTTTTGTTTTTTTGGCTGTCAGTTTCGAAAGAAAGACTTGCAATGTAATTTTAAAGGTGAACAATGTAGTCTGTCTCTTTTTTTTTTCTGCCAGCAATGTCTGTTAAAATAATGTATTATAATAAATTGATGCAGAATAATTTTGAAACTGAAAAAGAGATCCAAATCAGTTGTCTCTAAAAATGAGTCGAAGTTTTCATCCTAAACAAAGAATAAATCTTATTGAAGATTTAAGTATATATGTATACAGATAGATATAGAAGTCAATAAATGATATATTAACATAGTTTTATTGATGTCTATGTAATATTTAGTTATTGAATAAACTTAGGTTTCAAAATATTTGTAAGCATAATTACATATATACAAACCAGATTCTTCCTTTTATTCATGCACATATATCAAATTCTTCATTTATATTTTTTTATTTATATACATATTATAAAAATAATCTCTTTGCACTGCTGAGACTGTTAGTTGGATCTGATATTTTAAGACAGTGGTCTTCAAACTGAAGTTGGATGTGGGCCACATGCACAACTTAAAAACATCTGAGAGGGCCAGAATTTTTTTTAAACAAAATGAAAAATTTATTGATAAGATGATGTAAATGAAATAATAAAGTAGTACATATTTTTAGTTTTTAGTATTTCAAGTAAGTTTTAATGTTTGCTTGCTAAATATTTATCAAAATTTGTGTAAACAATAATAATATCAAGAAGGGAAAAGATTTGTAATTATTTCGTATCTGAAGTTTAAAACTCAATATCTATAAGACATTTTTGTAGGCTGCATTTTGTAATTGAAATATATTGAAAGCTGAATACTAAATTCTTAGACTGACATTTCTCTCAGATAATTTTAACATCTTGAAGTAATTATAAAATAAATTCTTTTAATTTAAACTTTGACAAAATAATGATAAAAACTTTCCAGAGGAAATTTGTCAAGTAGGATAAAACTTGAGAATAAATAAAAAAAATCTAGTCAACAATATCTTTCTCTTATTTATTAAAATTTTCTTCGACATGCAAATAAAAGTATTTTTGTTTGTGTGTAAATAATTATAAACATCTTGATATCTTTTGACCCACTAGCGGTCGAGTGGAAAAAGTCACTGAACACTAGTAGTTCGATCCAAGGTTCGAATACAGTGAACTGCTGCATGAGCATTTTTGTGGTTTTTCCCCATGTGTAACATATACATGAGCCAATTTCCCTTAAAAAGTCCTCCACGAAGGCATCCCTTCCCTTAGGCAGACAGCCCTTAAAGCTTTGACGTAATCACATAAACCAAATCAAACCTTGATATCTTCTATTGCTTGACACTTGGTGGCATTTTGATTTTGATATGGAATGGAAGAAAAGCAAGAAATTACTAGAAGTTATCTTCACTGTGAATTGTAGATGCTCATCTATCGGTTGAGTTCCTTCCTTTCTTATTAATTTTGAGCAGTTCATATTTAAACATATTCTAAAACAAAGCAATTATTCTCAGTTCAAGAAGGAGTAACTGAGCGTATGTATTTTTTGACAAGTAAAATTTAATAGAATCTGTGCCTTTGAATTAGTAAATTTGTATCACACTGTAAATCAGTTAGGTGCATTTATGAATTTTCTGGTATGCTATTTATGTTTGTTTCTAATGGGAATAATCATATAAATTTAGACTTAAAACAACTAAAATCTCAAAATCTTTGCAATACCATATTTCCGAAAAATACATAATTGAAAAGTTTTCGTGAGCTGTAAAAATTTGCTTCAGAAGCCACATGTGGCCCATGGACGCCCAGTTTGAGATGACAGTTTTAAGAAACTAATATGTCAGTTATGCTATTTTGCCAATTTTGATTGCTATTATGTCAACTAATATATGAATGCTGAAGCATTTTAAATAAAGAAAGCAAATATGTATGAAATAATTTAGAAGTCTGTGTGGAGATGCATGAAATAATTTAAAGTATTTGGCATGAAGATATATAAAGAAGCAACTTGAAGTCATATCTGATTTTAATATATTCTTTACTACCCTCACTGGCAAACATTTATGATGTATCACTGATAAATATACGTGTTTGTTCTTGAAGAACTTTTCACATTTTTGAAAACGTTCAGTAAGAAAACAGGCAGCAGTCTAGCTATATAGAGAAGCCAAAAGCAAAGGCGACATGTTCAAAATGGAATGCTTATTTAGAATGCTTTGCTTTTGGTTTAGCTTTATTTTAATTGGCTAATTTTTAAGGTTCTAAAATTATTATTGGCTGAAATCTTATGTAAACATCTGTGTAATGAGCATTACACAAGAAGCAGATGATATGGATTAATTTTGAAATGATGGAAAGTAGAGAAATTTATTATAAGCAGTCACTGTTTATAGAGCAGAAAGGGAAAATAGCCAAATTAAATGGAAGGTCATCGAAAATTAATGTTATTTTGAGTTGCATATTTTTTTTATATTATATATATTTAGGTATACATGTCAAATTCTTTTCTTTTTTATTTATATACACATCTCAGACCCCTCTTTTATTTAAAATTTTGTCAGAAAACGCTCTTAATAGAAATTTTAAGAGTAAATAATTCTATTTACTATTTATTTTTGTTTATTTTCAGCAATTAAGAAAATTGTTAAATACTACTCTGAAGCTCAATCCTCGTAAGGTGAAAGCTCTAGGTACACCTCCACGTTTTGCATATATAACTTTTAAGTAAGTTTTCGCTGTTTTTATAAACTTTAATAGAACATTTAAAAGGAATGATATTTATCAGTTATCCCAGGTCATATTTTCTTGGTCTGTAATTTTTTTGACACCAAAAGCATCATTAATGATATTTTGGTAACTGTTATCTATTTCTTACATCTAGCTTTTGTGTCTGTAAAAAGGACATCCCTGGCAAAAATCATTTGCATTTTTAAAAAAAAATCTTTTAGTACATCACTTTTGCTTGATGTATTTTTTTTCACTTGAGGCATTTGGAATTAGCCATGGATGGAACCAGCAGCCAAAGCTGTAGATATTCAACAAAATAAAGCTTATTAGATTACATTGTATTTATACAGATATGTATATATGTATGTATTTAATAAAAATTAATGAAACAAAAAACATCTACAAAAACTTAATACAAAATTTTCAAGATTTTTGAAAAACAAAATATTTGAAAAATTGATTCAGAAGTCAAACAACAAAAATCAGCGTTAATTCACAAAAATTTTCACAGGACTAGTTTCGATGGTTTTACCGAACCATCATCTTCAGCTGCAAAACCGCAAAATTTTTTTTTTGTTGTTTGATTTGATTTTTGTTGTTTGACTTCTGAATCAGTATTTATTCGGCGTGCTATTGTGTCTTAATTTGAAAAATTATCTGATAATTTTCTTTGCATTGTCTTTTTTAGTATCACATTGTCAACAAATTGAGTGATGGCGTCCATTTTGTTACTCTTTTCACTACTGGAATGTGAGTCTAAATAAACTGCACATACTTTTCATGATGTTCCTCATTTTGGATGACGTGGGAAGAGGAGCTTCATTATTCATTTCATTTTCGTCATCGGAATCTGCATCAATGATACTTTTTTGAGCTTTGAACAAACTCCAAAATGTTTTTATCTGTCATAATTGGGATTGTACACATATTATCTATCATCATCTACTGCAGCCAATTCTTCCAATGATACAGTAGAACAGTCCCATAAATACAGAAACTTTCTCATAGATTTGATTAAATGATGGCTCAGTTTCAGTATCCTCCTTCTCTGTTTCTTTTGGTGCGAAACTCATTGATTTTTATACACACTGCTGTGTTCTCATCACCGAATTCCCAAAACCAACTCATGAGAGATGAGATCATTTTGTAGGGCTGGCTCGTGTTGCAGGGTATTCTAAAGGTAATTCAACACCAAATTATCCTCCTTTCTACGAAACGTATGAAACCACCTATCTTTCATTTCACACCCCTCTTAAATCTTGCCTTCGCAGCTGGTGTTTTCCGTATTTTGTTCATTTCCAGAAGGGAAATCTTTTCGTGTTAAGCGATTCTCATTTTGTGTTAAAAGGAAAAAAATGCATGAAAATACTTAGTAGTTTGCCGGGACTGTTGTATTATTTTTTGTTAACCGATATTTTGTCTGAAGCATTTTCATGTTAAACGTATTTCATTGTATTTGAGATGTTTGATGGAATGCCATCAGAAATAATGCTGATCAAAGTCTGATTAAAAAGACTAGAAGGGGAAAATGTAAATTTCAATATAATGATTCACTATTTTTTAAATATTTTTTTAAAGATTAAAAATTTATCAGTACATTTTGCTTAAGACTGCTGAATTAAGAGATCGAGCATGTAATTTTAATTACTAATTTTTTTCCTTTGTTTGAATTATATTTTGTTATGTGTAGATGCATTGTAAATCTCCACAGCTGTAATCAGTGTTGAGCTTTAGGCAGTTTATGGGGTCTAGCTCCTCTACAGTTCCTTATTTTTTTAGCTTGTTTATTTATTTATTCCAAGAGAAGCACATGCTTTGCATGGCATAATCACACTTTGAGAAACATTAAATTTTATATTAAAGTAGAAAATAAAAATAATTATATTCTGGATTTCATTATGATGGCCATAACAGAACACTGCATAATGAAATATCTAATAATTTAAAGAAAGCAACGTATGGTTGTTAGTAATAGTGAAGCTGAACTTCCAATTCAATAAGCAATATTTCTACAGCAAAGATCTTTGACTGTACAATATATTTGATTTTGCGGCAATCTCCTTAAATAGGAAACCTGTGAGAGAAATTAGATTAATCCTAAACCTTACATTAAAATAATAATAATAAAAAAAAATAAATAAAGGAAATTAATACGTGGCAGCTTCTGGCATAAATTGGGTCGTATAAATAAATTTAATCATTATTTTGTATAATTGTAGTACTATTTTGTAATTTAAAATTTAGAATTTTTTTTAAAATTTCAACATTTTTTTTAGGCATAACTATTTGTAATTTCTGTGTTTAAAGAAAATACACATCTAATTGGAATTTGAAATGCAATCCTTTTGTTAAATTTTTCATAGCTCACCACTGGCTATAAGAAATGCATACTAAAATCAATGAGGGAAGAGAATTATCATTTCTTTTATTATCCATAAGCTGCAAAGTTTAAATTTTAACAGTTGGTAGTTGAGTTAATTTTTACTGGTGAAATAACATATGCTTATTAAATACTAAAAATTTTATATGTACTAAAATTTTTCCTTTATCAGCCGTTAAGAAGGTACTATTTTGTAATTAGTATTTTGTACTATTTTGTAATTTAAAATTTAGAATTTTTTTAAAATTTCAACATTTTTTTAGGCATAACTATTTGTAATTTCTGTGTTTAAAGAAAATACACATCTAATTGGAATTTGAAATGCAATCCTTTTGTTAAATTTTTTATAGCTCGCCACTGGCTATAAGAAATGCATATTAAAATCAATAAGGGAAGAGAATTATCATTTCTTTTGTTATCCATAAGCTGCAAAGTTTAAATTTTAACAGTTGGTAGTTGAGTTCATTTTTACTGGTGAAATAACATATGCTTATTAAATACTAAAAATTTTATATGTACTAAAATTTTTCCTTTTATCAGCCCTTAAGAAATGTTTTGAACTCATGTGATGTCAAAATTAATGTAATTAATGTGCGTCAAGTGAGAGCAGTACAAATTAGCATCAAATTTATTAAAATTCTGTGACTCAAGTTATTATTGTCTCTAAATTATTGTCTTCAGATTCGAAACAACTAATCTTTAACATTTCTGAAATCATCTTACAGTTCATATCTCTAACTGCAGCAGCACACAACTGAATTTTCGAAGGCACCTTATTATTAGTGTGATTAGTTGTTTTGAACTGATTTCAGAGTTGCTTAATGGTATTCAGTTCTTGCACTGGCCATTTAAATATTTCTTTCATGTAAACTTTATTCAAGTGAATGATACAAATGATTCATTATATGCAAATATTATTAAAACACATCTGTTAAGTTTTAAATGATATACAGTCAACTCCCGATTTACCAGTGTAATGCTAAGTAAATATCTATGGTTATATCAAAATCACAGTGAATCTAAGGTAGTTAAAGCAATACATGAATGAGCAATAATTTATAGTTTAATTAACAGGAAAATCCTGTTAAAAATTTACATGTATTTTCAAGCAGTTTAATTTGAAAAATGAGTCCAGTTTTGGTATGTAAAGGGGTGGTACTGTTTTGTTATCGGGACTAAATTCAGATATCACTAAGAGCTGACGATCTGGCGAAAAATTCGAAGCATAAAAATAATTGCCCAAAATATTTATAATACAGTGTGGTTGAAGATAAAAACCAAAGAAAAAAAATAACATTAATAAAATTAGAAATTTTTAATGTAAATTAAACAAATTACCAAAGAAATTAGGGGAAAAATTTGTTAAGGAGTTTAGTGAATTAAGATTAATGCAGAGGCATGAAACTGCAGATATAATTTAAAATGTCTGAAAAGATTTGCGTTTTAGGATGCTGCTGCTGCCATATTAACTCAAATAAGAATCTAATTGGTGTCTCATAACCTTTTAAGAGTTTGAGTATGATAATTAGTATCAGGATCGATGAAATTATGGATAATGTGGAAATGTTCAATTCCGGATCTTCACATCTCCATTCTGGTGCTTTTTTTGAATTGAAGTAGAACGTCATTATATGGTTTTTCATTCACTTTCTTCCACCATAAATTAGTCCTCATTCTTGAGGAAATTTTATGGAAGATGTTTTATCATTAGGTAAGTCCCAAATTTTAAATCCATGGTAAATATAAGAATAATAGAAATAGAAGTGACTGTTACATCTTTAGAATTTTTATTCTCGTCGCCAGTTTTGAAATGCATTTCTTTTACTTTTTTAAAATGTAAACGTTGTAGTAATTTTAAACAGCAAACATTGGCGACTTCATATAAATCAATCTCTTGATGAGTTTAGCAAAATAGTTGGTGACAACTCCAGTCCCGATAACAGAACAGTATCAAATTAGTGTTCAAAATTCTCTTTTGTACCTTTATGCATGAACTTTCTTCTGACTGTGTTTTTCCTGTCTCTGTCTGTTCACTTCACATTTAACCTGCTGTATATTTTTGTTGTACATATTCTCGTACTTTTATAGGAGTCTGGTTAGGTTAATTGATTAAGGTAAGTGCCTAAAGGGCTATCTGTCATAGCGGAAGGAATGCCTTCATGGAGGACTTTTTAAGGAAAACTGGTTTGTATCCACACACATGGGAGAAACCACAGGATTCATTCTGAAACAGAATATTAATTGTTTTGATTTATTTTGAAGATTGAGCACTATGCTTTAAATAAATTATTTACTATTATGTATTACATGCAGTTATGCACTGTGAGGGATCAAAACCATTGTAACATCATCTGCTATCATTGTTGCTATCTCACATACTTCTCTTTCCCTTTGTGCATTTTCTGTAGTCAGTTTTTTTTAACACTAGTGGTTTTATGATAGCAGTTTTTGCACCATTCCACAATAAACATAAATTTTTGCACCATTCCGTAATAAACTTAAAATTTTAAGACAGGTAATCCATTGCTAGCTAATTGGACACTTAATTGTATGGTAGGAACATTATGTTTCTTTTTTCTTTTCCTTTTCCTGTACCGCCATGCTTAAATTTTCAAATCCTGTAGATATTTGACTTGAAAATATTGCAATATAACTTAGTTATATGTTGCAGAACTCATCCTAAATTTCATAAACGTATTCCAACAAGAAGATTTTGAAAGACAGGGTTGCAAGAATATGCATTTCCATCTTTAACAGTTGGCTTTTAATAACTTCATTACTCATTCATTTATAATACCTCTGGGGGAGGAAGGCCTGTTTTTGTTTATGACAAAGAATTTAATTCCTTTTTAGTCATTTGTAAGTAGCCATGAAGGTCACCTGGCAAAGAGTTTTCAAACGATGTCTGAAAAACTTCAGAGCTATCAAGAGACAGAAATATATTAGCCAAAATTTTTATCAGACTTTTTTTTTTGTAACTGTCCTTAATAAATTACTAGGTATTTTTTTTAACTGGGGAGAGGGGAATGTTACCTCATTTGAGTGTATCATTGCTCTTTTCTTGAGATCATTTCTCAAACAGAGGATAACTTATCACTTGAAGGCTGTTTGTTGCTAGAAGTTTTACGTTCCATTAATCTATAAAATGCAAATTAGAAGAAAGACCTCAAGTTTTTATTTTAGATCAATACCTGGATATTTTGGAGTTGAAGCATTTATAAAATAAAGAATTTCTTCCTTTTCATTTAAAATATATATGTAACAATATTTATATGGGTAATAATTCAATTCTTGCAATTGATTTGAATGATGACTTATGCCATCAGACTTTTGCGTCTGTAAGATATTGCCAGTTTGCGCCAAGGGGATTGCCTTAATAATATGTAAGTACCCTGTTTTTTTCCATTGGTATGCATGTAATATCTAATGGCCTACTTGATAGATTTTATCAATTTTGAAGGTACAGGATTGTTTGTAACTCTGATTATTAGAATACTGTAACATTTTATTTGTATGCTATTTTTTCCAACATTTCCAACAAGGAGCTGTCTTTCTTTACAGTTTAGTTTTACTTAATATGTATATGGAATGAGAGTAAAGTTTGGAAGTTTTTGAATTGATAGAAGAATTTGGCAATGATTTTAAGTATTCAATACTGTGATTTTTGAAAAACATTTTTTTTTTTTTTCAATTTATAGAAACGCTGAAGATCGAGACAAAGCCTTGAAGCTTCTAAATGGACATATTTGGAAAGGAAAGGCCCTTTTTGCAAAAGTAAATATTTTTTAATAAGTATTAAAATAATATTATTGTCGTAGCTATTCTATACTTATTATTGTTATTTTTAGTCCAAAGGCATTTGAGTCCTGAAGGACTATTACTTTCATTTTGGCATTTTGCGTGGGACTCCTATAAATGTCAGTTCACTTTTCAGACTGTTGCCACCAAATGTTAGAATCCTGCATTATATTTGAAGAAATTGCATGAATGTATGTATATTTCTCGCATTGTGATAAAACGATGGTATCTAGATCCATCCAATTTTGAATGACGTAATCCTACTGTGAATATGGGCATCTGAAATCCCAAATTTGAAATTTGGAATTTATTTTATTATCGATTTCATATTTTGTGAAACTTTAACGAATTTTTGAGTAACAAACTCAACAATTTAAAAACGAACAATAGCAACACTCTACGGGGGGATGGGGGGAGCTTTTTATCTCCAGCGCGTCGAACTGTGTATCGGAAATTCTAAAGATATGCTCATTTTAAAATTATTTTGCGATGTTACTATTGAACTAAATTTTATGGTTTAAGCTCAAAGAATATGATATTTAATAAATGAAGGAAACACACAAAGCATTTAAAAAAATGCCCATTTGGACATAATTTAAAATCTGAAACTTAGCGGGTTTTTTTTTTTTTTTTTTTACTTTGTTATATTACTGAACTTATATTAATCATATTTGGATATCCGGACACCATTTACGTGCTTTTATTTTGTAATGTATTATTATCTTTATTAGTGTTTATTAATAATAATGATTATTGTCTTAGTTATTATATTCTTAAAACAATTTTTTCTGTAAAATATAGTGGTACTTCTTGATTATCTCAGCTCACATTTTTCTAGGTGGTAATCATTTCGGCTTCAAGAATTGTTTTGATGATGAAACGTGTAATATTTTGTGATATTTTAGTAACTCTTGTCTCCTGTTGCATTACCTTATATTATTAGCATTAAAATATGAATCGTGAGCAGCATGACCACCTTTATCCAGTCATTAGACTTTTTCCTCACTTGGAATACATTAGCTTATTTAAAATGTTTTGTTTTCTTATTTCCTTTATTGCTGTAAATATTATCCTAATGAATGGTGGTTTATAAAAACAGAGGTTAAAATAAGGTTACATGCTGTTTAAACACAATTCTTTTTCATCATTTCCAAAAAACTGTGCCATTTAGAGGATTAAATACTATTGTGTAGTATTTAATCTCTGGAGTTTTCTGTGTCAGATTACAATAGAGCTTGTCGTAATTATTCCATCATCACATGTGCTTGAGGCTTTTGACTACCAGTAGATGCATCCCTCACACAAATTTAAAAGCAAGTTGATGGATGCTGTTCAAACTAGCCTTGTTCAAAGATAACTGGGCATTTAAAATTATTTTCTTGATAACAGAAAAATTCCAAGAATTTTATATTTTGCATTGCCTATTTAATTATCGCTTAACAAAATATACTTTATTATTTCAGAGATCTGTGTTGGAGGATTTAAACAGATTTTATAATTAAATATCTTTTGAATGGTTGATCACAGATGCATAGTTTAAGTTTAAAAGTTAGTTTAATTCTGTCAATTTAATAGTTTAAAAGTTAGTTTAATAATTTATGTTTTTAAAAAAAGTCAAAAATGGGAAGCTTTCAGATTATAATAGTTTTGGTGATATACCTTTTACTAAAATTACATGAAACTTAAATTTTTATATACAGCCTGTAGGAGGGGAGCTAGTGAGAAAATTGTTTTCCATACCAGATCAATGAAACAAAGAAAATATTTTCCCTTGTACTATCAAAATTGCCCTAGTTATCAGTAAAAACTTTTGATATATGTAGATATTGTTAAAAAGGATTACACATAAGTTTCCAAATGAAAATCTTTGAAAAGTAATTTTTACATTAGAAAAATATTAATTTGTTTAATGATATTTAGTTTTTCATAACCCATAAATTCATATTTCATATAGTTCTTTTCAATGTGGGAAAGCTGCTTTAAATCATTTAATTGTCATGATGTTTTTTAAGGTCAGTTTTACATATTCTTTTCCTCCTTAGATGTAGTCAGTATAATAAGGAACAGCTTATTGGAGCTTTCTTTGTAGAGGGATTTATTTAAAAATGTAGATTTCATATATTTTTACAAAAAGGTGGCGAATGACCAAAATTACTTCATCCTAAATACCTGTATTATTTTTTCTCTTTCTGTCTACTGGCAACAGTTCAAGAATAATTTAGATCTTTGTAATCATTCGATCTTTTTCAAGCACTTTGTACTATTACCAAAGTCTGTAAGTTTCTTTGATATTTTTCAGAAAGCTAATCCAGCTGCTGATCCTATGGTTCAAAAGAGAAAAGCTGGTGATTCAGAAGATAGTCATTGTTCTAAAAAAGCAAGAGAGGATGATATTCCAGTTGAATTAAGGTAAATGTTTTAGAAATCTTTTTTCATGTGTTATAGAATGTGAAAATTTTCATTTAAGCTTAATATATTGAAATCAATTTATAATCTTAGAAGGCAAGAATAGGAGAAAAGCTGTATCATTTTCATAAACAACCTGTTCTTCATATTGGACTATTTATTTTTTTATTAATAAATCTGGAAGCAAATTGCAATTTGTTTTTATTAACTTTTCTGTGGATAAGATTAAAATATTGATATTTTACAAATGAAATTAAAGCATTTATTTTTCTAATGTTTTACAAATTCAGAGTAAAGCATTTTCTGATGTTTTTCTGATGATTTCTGATTCATTTATTTTTCTGCTGTTTTACAAATTAAGAGTTTTGTCAAATAAATAAAAAAATATGTAGCTAAGTGGAAACATATATTTATTAATTAGTGACTATGTTGCAAATATTTTGTAAATACTTTGCTCAAGATTTTAGTGATGGAAAAATTCATAACTATTGGAAATAAGGATCATAAGTTACAAAATATTTTGTGGCCTTTTAATTTTTCTCAAGGTAATAAGTAACAGATATTTTAATAGATGTTTTTCAGTATTTTTCCTGTAGTAAGATATTTTAAATGGTAAATTGCTTAAAATAAATAGAGGTATAAATTATAATAAATAACAAGATATTCTCAAATAAATGTTCTTTTCCAAAATTTAGGTAATTTAATAAGAATTAATTTTTTGAAGTTTTATTTAAAGTAACTTTTAATTTGTTTTTGAAGGCTAAAGAATGCTGTAACTCCTTTTTGGAATGTTCCTTATGAGGAACAATGGAAAAGAAAAGAAGATGATGTGCATAAATTTTTGGTGAAACTTGGAAAAGAAATAGAGAAAGTTAATAAATCACTTTTACCAAAACTTCAGAAGAACAGGTAAACCTTTTTATTTTTATTTATTTTTAATTATATATATATATATATTGTAATTAAATTATATGAAATACTAAAATTATAATCTTTAAAAGTTTTAACAGTTTCTTCCCTTCTTTTGTTTAGTAACTTGAAGAAAACTACCTATATTTTTATTTGTACTTTATGTGGTTTGTTATTGTATGTACATGCTATGCCATCTTTCTTTCATTATTAGGCATTTTCCACTAGTTGTCCATTTTGACATATTTGATTTATAACACTCATATATTTTGTCAAATTTGCATCTTTTTCAGAGTTTCACATTTTGAAGAAAGTGCTTTTTTTGGGGTGGTTGTTGTTTAAATCATGTAGGGGATGGTTGTATGCAATTGTATATCACTTTCTTTCTGAGTTAAAAATTGCATGGTATCAGAAATGTCGATCAGGTTACCATTTGGTTAGAATGGAAAATTGAGATGTCCTGATGAGAGCAAAAATGATTCAATCTAACTGTTTGGCTATTTGGCCTTGACGTCTTCATTTTTGTATTAGTTCTGAAAATTCTTCTTACTAAATTGCAACTTTTTTCATTTCATTTTGTAAAACTCTCAAAGGTTATAATTTTAATATTTAATAGAATTTAATTACAATATATATATATATATATATATATTATATACATCTAAAAAAATAAAGCACTTTCTTCAAAGTGTGGAGCATAAATAAACTCCACAAAAGACACAAAACTGGCAAAATATGTGAGTATATAAATCAGATATGTCAAAATGGACAACCAAAAAAGTCTTAAACAATGTTTTGCAGTGTGAAGTATCAATAGACTCCAAATATATAGTGGGAAATGCTTCATAATGAGAGAAAGATGGTATAGTATGTATATACAATAATAAATCACATAAAGTACAGATAAAAATGTAGCTTGTTTTCTTCAAGTTACAAAAGAAGGGAAGAAAAAAGTAAAATTTACTGTTACTGTAGTCCAAGTTAGAATATAAGCACAAGGTAAAATCTAAAGACGGGGATCTTCACAATCAAATGGAGTTTAAATTTTTTATCTGTTGGCATGCTGTAGAGAGGAGGGACAAGAGGAATGGTTATATGCTATCAGCAAATCAGAGAGAAGCTGTGAAATAAGGGGATAAGTTGAAATCTTGACCCGAAAGTGGCTGTCTTGGAGCTTGAAGAGAATTGGCTTTTACCATAGTAACAGAAGTGAGCTACCAGAGTGTAAAAATACTACCATATAGTCTGTCGTACAACACTGACTTTTAATACAAAATGTAAGATTGAAATTTATAAGTGCACATTATACATTGGATGCAAAAATGGTAGATTTAAAAATAAGGGCAAGATGAGCATACAAAAATTATATTTCTACATATACCTAAATGCTGTTTGTGTAAAAGAAATGACATTCCTTGTGAACTAAAAAAATTTCCTTATCTGATAAAACATGAAAAATTCATCATGTATGTCTTTGAGTATATCTTCAGGCACATATCTTATTCTGTTTCATCTTCACCATCATTGTTATTTTGATTCATAAATAAATAATCATCTTCCATTCTACCTAGATTGCTGGATATACTACCCATTTTTTAAATGAATTTTGAATTATGTCGGGTTTAATTTCATTCCATGTTTTTATTAGCTACTCGCGCACTAGACGGGCATGGTGATTTGGCTTCCTTTTCCTTCTTTGCCTTTAATATTCACTTCAAAATTACAATTTCAAGTGTCTAAAGAAAGAGAAAACTGCTAACAAACTGCTTCATTCTGAGAATTCATTCAGGTTTGGAAGTTCATAATTACCTCAAATAAAGTCCCCCTTTTCTCGAAACACTAGAATAACATTCTTGAACACTCCTGCATTGAATATAATGCACCATCTTTGCAGAATTATCTATTGTCAGAATATCTGCTACAAATAATAATAAGCTTTAAAATTTGAAATTATGCTTTGATCCATTGTTTGAATTAATAAAGTTGTGTTTGGCCGCAAGAAAGTCGCTTCTACTGGAATGCATATGCTGATAACTTTGACAAATGCTTACGATGGCTTGGAACATTATCAATATAAAAAATTAAGCTTTCAGTTCTAGTTTCTCAAATTTGCAATAGCATATAACAGATGGACAAAATTGTTTAGTGAACCAATTCTCAAAATTTTTTAGTGATTCAAACTAATTCTCAAAATTTTTTAGTGATTTTTATTAATTTCCAAATTACTGGGAAGATGCTTTTGAAATTCTCTTCAATGCTGTTGGGGTTTTGAAATGATAAACAATCATTGGTTTTAATTTCAGGTCTCCATTAGCATTACCATCCAATAGAAGTGCTAAAAATCCTTTTACAGCTTTAAATCCTAAACCAATCCAGCACTACTGATACCATGTGCAATTTCAGGGGATCATAATACTACTGCATATTACTAAAAGAGCACTGTGGGGTTTTAGTGTATAATTTCGTATAATCCTTGACCTATAGTTTGTTTAACAGGATTATAGCTAACAAAATGTTCCTGTATTCCACTATATTTTACATCTAAAAATCATATTATAAAAGAAAGCTGCTCCACATGACTGATATGTACAGTCTAAAATAAGGCTAAAATGTTTTGCTAATCTAGCTTGGTTAAGTATATTTTCCTGAACAGAATTTTCCAAAAAATTTATTATTTTGTTTAGAACATTTTTACTACAATAGTAAATGTATTTTTGATGATACAACCTGACACAAATGTTCACTTATTGTTAAATTGAATCTACCAAGTAACTCAATAAGACATAAAATATCCTCATTGTGTGATGTAAATAATGTATCTGAAGTTACTCTGAAAGCCAAATTAAGTTAAATACTGAGTGATACTCATTAAACATTCGAAAACTTTACATGAATGCTTTTATTCTTTTTATACTGACTGAAGCTCCTTATCAGTAATTTTATTAGTCTGGAATTGTAGTGATATCATCTCATCTTTTAATTCATGCATGCAATTGTTACTTTCTTCAGAAAGTACAGTTTTTTATGGGTTTGACCTCATAAGTATTAGATAACATATCTTGACATATATATGTAGTTGAAGAACTGTTTGACTAAGGACTTAAAAAAATTTATACTTTTGGGTGTTTCTTAACTGTTCCTTCTTGCTAAAGACATCTTTTTCTGTTTCATAACGAGATATCGTTTTTGGACACATTTGTAAATTTTAAGAGCAGAAAAAATGAAATAAATGTGAACTGTCTACAGAAAACATATAGAACACGAGTGACACTTAGCCAGAAAAGTTTTTAAAAAAAAAAGTCAGGTTGAGAAAATATTTTATTTATTATTTTCCCTTTTTTGGGGGGGGGTGCTTGGGCTTAATGGTGCCCCAGGCAACTGTTAGTGTTGCCCGGTACCATGAGCTATCACTGTTTGCTGTAGACCTTAATTAACTTATATATTTATTTATTTTATTGGCTTAATAACTTATGTAACAAACATATTATTGTCCAAGCTTAAGCAGTGGAAAACCTTGAAATTTTTGTCTTTTGGTCATATGAATAGGGCTTTTCACATTTTAGCTTTTATCGATAACTCAGTAGTTTAACCACTAGAGGTTAATCAGTTGATTGAAGCTTAAAAGAGTCCTCTTTGAGGAACGTACAATTTTTTAAATGAATTTTATATAAATGTAAATCTTTAAAACTTACTAAAATGTTAGAATCTTATGAAAATAAATTTAGTTAGTCTCAGACATAACTACTTAGGTAGAAAAATTTAATAAATGGAAACATCATTTATGGCAAAAATTTTGTGCATATTTTCTTTAGTTTTATTTGAAAATCAAAAAAACCAGGAGAGCCTTCTAAGAAGGGGTAACTTCTTTTGCAGGAACTGTTTATCCATTTGTTATTGTGTGGGTGTATACAGTGAACTTCTCTAAAATAACCAGCTCCAGTTTTAGGTTGGTCTTTTGTAGCAGTGGTCATCTTAGAAAATTTATGTCTAGTACTTATAATGATTGCTTTCAGAGGTGATTATCTTATTGAAGCAATAGCCAAGGGTGGATTCATTTTATGTATATGCATACAAGGAAAATAAAATCCTTATCTGTCTTCTTTAATAATAAATACTTCTTAGTTTCATTTATTTGTACTTGGGCATTTTAATGGTTTTCCCTATGTATACTGTGAAAATTTTGAAAATATAACACTGATTTTTGTTGTTTGACTTTTGAATTAGTATTTGTTTGATGTGTTATTGTGTCTTAAAAAAGAATAACTTGAAGCATCTAATTCCTAATAACTATTAAACAAGCAGTACTTAATTAATGTGGTTTTTGAACATGTCTTTTATATATAATATTATATATATCCAATACAGTCAAAAGTTGTTAATTCGGACACCCATAATCCGGAATGATCTATAATCCGGAACCTCAAAGCTACAAACTTTCTGCGCATGCATAAACGCGTAATACCATTTACGCATGCGCGCATACGACCTTTACGGCTGCGAATATGCTTGTGCGCATGCGCATAATACGTTTACGCATGCGCGTTTAATGTATAACCGGACAGTATAAGCTAAGCTAAAATTATCTAATTCAGTTAATGTTGCAGATTGCGTTGTTCCTTAATCTTCGAATTGGATTCGGCTTATTATTTTTTGCAGACTGTTTAGAGTAATTTTATAAAAGTAAGCTTAAACTTTCGACTAAAAAGAGTTTCAAAAAGAGTTTCCAATTCTGGAGCTGCCAAAGGATCTACAAAGCGAAAGCATGTTTCGATGTCCATTAAACAAAAAGTGGAATTGCTGCACAAAATGGAGAAAGGCATGAAGAAAGTGACAGAGAGGTGATTTATTTCACTAACCATTCCGAAATCTGTTTATCAATTTCACGGTGCTCTGCGGGGGGGGGGGACGTTGCGGCGCGCAATGAACTGGAAGTTGATCTGTCAGCACTATCCTCATCTTCAGGGCAGATGTTTTTATTTTATTCAGCTTATAATTCTTTATTAAATGTAGTGTTTCATCTCGATGTACTCCGATATGATTTAAATCAATTTCCTCGTCATTATAAATATCACGAATACACATCAAATAGTTTTCTAGTTGCAATTTTCTAATTTCGACTATGCGTAATGTATGCTTTACGCATGCGCGCGTTGAAAGAAATGTTTAATAAAGTAAACAAATAAATATTAAGTTTTTTTTTTTTTTTTTTTTTTTTTTTTTTTTTTTTTTTTTTTGTAAATTTTGATACCCTTTAGATCATAATTGCTATTTATTTCATAAATTACGGTTTCATATTTTTAATTGTATAATTTCTGCATGACATCTTACCAGATTTAAATTGATGATCTATAATCCCGAAAAACCCCTAATCCGGAATCGCCGAAGTCCCGACGAGTCCGGATTAAAGACTTTGTACTGTACAATAAACTTTGATCTTAATTTTTGTAATCCTTAACCGAATTATTTTTGCAGACTGCTAGAGCAATTTTATAAAAGTAAGCTTAAACTTTCGATTATATCAAATAAAATTTCCAATATATATTTGTTAATATGTAAAGGATCTAAAGTGAAAGTATGTTTCGAAATCCGAAATCTGTTTATCAATTTCACGCTGCTTGGCGGGGGGAACGCTGCGGCACGCAATGAATTGGAAGTTGATCTGTCAGCATTATCCTTATCTTCAGGGCAGATGTTTTTATTTAATTTGGCTTATAATTCCTTACCAAATGTAGTATTTCATCTCGATGTACTCCGTCTTTGATATGATTTAAAACAAGTTCCTCGTCATTATAATTCGCTTCCGATAGTGAAGAAATTAACAGAGGTTATTGAAAACGAAAAAATTTCGATTGACAAATTAGTCAGTATTCTCGAGACAGCAATTATAGGACTTGAACAGCGGAACTTTGTAACTAAACAAGAAATTATGTCTGTTTAATAGAATTAAAGAGAAAGTATTATCACATGAAACGAAGTAACTTAAACAACTTGCATTGAAAGAAATGTTTAATAAAGTAAACAAATAAATATTAAGCTTTTTCTTTTTGTAAATTTTGATACCCTTTAGATCATAATTGTTCTTTATTTCATAAATTACAGTTTCATATTTTTAATTTTGTAATTTCTGCATGCCATCTTACCAGATTTAAACTGATGATCTATAATCCGGAAAAATCGATTATCCGGAATCGCCGAAGTCCTGACCAGTCCGGATTAAAGACTTTGTACTGTATTAATCAACCCTCATTTTTGGGCTGTCAAAATATCAGAGATTAGAAGAAGGGTTTTGTTCATTTTATTAATTTTGAGAATTTATGCTACTTTCTGATTATCTACATCTCCCACCCAAAAGAAGGTTGTGGAAAATTATTAAAGAGACAATGCACTGTGTCACGAAAAATATTTATATGTCAACCCATTATGCCACTAGAAAATGTTTATGTGACAACTCAGGTATTGACATAATATACATGTATTTGACTCTATGTGGATTTACTGTATTAAAATTCTATGATAATTTTTCTGATTACTTTCTCTCATTTTGCGTTGAATACATTTGTTTTTGCCATAGTGAATCGTAATGGGACTGTGGAGTTTGATAGTTGATTAAAAAGAAAGTGTTGCAGTTCTTTAGAAATATGGTTTATCCAACAGTACAAAATGCAAAACATTTGCATGTTGTACTACTATATGACTGAATTTTATGGAAATGGGAAAAATGTGTAAATAGTTATAGCAGATTTTCTTGTTATTAACCCTTCCGGATGGGTGTATCATATATGCATCAGCAGTTAATCCTCTTACAAGATGGCATGCCGCTTACTCACCTTGGAGATGATGAGTTGCACCAGTGCATCACCCAATTGCTAGTGCCATTTGGGACTGATGCATATATGATGCACCTGTCTGTAGAAGGTTTTTAGTTCAGTAGCATGGCATTGTGAAGGGGTTAATTGTTGGACAAAGTTAAATACATCAATGAAATATTATTAAGAAGAACTGAAACTATCCCCAAATACAACTATCGGTTGATGTAATTACCTCTAAGAAATGTGTGTATCTTCAATGGAAAAAGAAGAATGTAACAATTAACGTGGTACTGGATGCATTATTGAAGTAGATGTAAGAATATCCAAATAAACGTTTCTGTCCAAAGTGATCAATGAATTCACAACCTTTTGGGGAAGAGGGAGAGAATTAGTATTCAGTACTAAAGTGAATTCTTTCAGTCTTACGAAAAGTTTTGTTTTCAGATATTTTTTTTTTATTAATCACATTAACTTATTTTCAAAACATTATTATTAAGTAGTATATAGCAGTGAGTTTTTTTTATTTTTCTGTTTAATATTCAGTGCAAAATTTAAGATCAAAGTTAATTTGTATTTTTTAGAAAAGAAAATAATTTCCAGTGTTGTCCTTTAGCACCAATAAAAGCCTCACCATGCACCAAAGCATATCGAAATAAATGTGAATTTACTGTTGGGAAACATTTATATACTAAAGAAAAAACAGTGGGCTTTCGTCTGAATTCATACAAGGAAGGGTCTATGAGTGTTGCAGAGCCAGATGATTGTATCAACATATCATCTGTGATGTTGAAAGCTGTTAAGGTCAGTATTTATAAGGAAATTGGTAACTTTTGTGATTAGAAAATTAGTACAATTCAGCATACAAAATAAGAATTGCAATCCCTTATCACATGCTGGTGTCTCAATAATTTATTCATATATTTTAGTTTGGTGATGTTTTCAGGTTATAAATTCTAAATTTTATACTGATTTTTTGGCTCAAAGATAGTTTGGTGAGATTTTATAGCTTAACTTTCATTTATAATTAATTTTAGACCAAATCAAATGTATCTTATGTACAATTTCTTTGTTATTATGTGTTGCTTTTAAACATATTGGCATAAGTTCTCTCACATTTGTAGCATTGCTATGAGTATTATTTGAAAAACTGTGTTTACTGTATGCATTTATATAAAATACCTCAATGGATTTTCATTGCATATCTGTTTATCGTGTCTTTTAAATAGTTCATTTATTTTTTGCATATAAGCTGCAAATTTAAGGTCAATGAACATTTCTTTAATTTTATGGAAATTAGTATAAAAATTGCACTATATATTCATACTTCTATGCCTGTGATTTATAGCTGCATGAATTTTTGTAGTTTTTAAAACAATGTAGTTGCTGGAAATATAATCAATGCAATCTAGTTAAGAAATTCCTATGGAGTTTTCTTATACAGCCTAGCAGACCAGAATTAAATTGAGTGAACCAGATTGACGTCACTATTGTAGATTAGTTTCATTATCTGTTTATTACAAAGAAGCATGTTGAAGGTTTGTAGCAAATGTAGGAAATTAATTGATGCATTACACCAGGAAACTATTAATTGTAAGAAATGATCAACATAATATATGGGAACTTTGCAATATATATTTATTAGAGATGTAAGTGTTTATGCAATGTAAAATGCCAAATGTAAACCATTTGACATTTAAATGGCTCAATTTAAAAACTGCTTATTCTATAAAAATTGTTTACTTCATAAATAGATGACATGGAGGTCATTTAATTGTGGGAAAGTTATTTAACTGCTACTGGAAAGATGAACAATCATTCTAGTACTTACTTTTGTCAGTGATGGGAAAGGCTGCTGATTCGAATGAATTTGATTAAGGGCAGATGGTAAAACTGTATGACTGGTAGGTTTGTCATGATCTGTTGTTGTACATTTAATGCAAAATGGATAAATGATGGTGAAACCACCAGTAGATGCTAGTGTGTTGGATGTCTATGCGTCACCAAATCATCAAAGACTGTCCCATTTGGTACAGCAGAATCGATGGCAGACAGTGGCATAAACTGACAGTTTCTATATAATGCAGGTTCAAGTGCATCTGTTTAGGAACATAGAGTTCAGTGGACACTGCTGAACATGGGACTGTGCAGCAGACGTCCCACTTGTGTGCCTCTGTTGATCAAGCGTCTTTGTCAACACTAGGCCTACAGTGAGCCCGGGAACACTGAAACTGTGCTATGGATAAGTGGAAGACGGTTGCCTAGTCGAATGAATAAGGATTTCTCATTCATCACATCGATAGTTATGTCAGGGTATGCTGTCTTCTAGGCGAATAGTTACCCCCCCCTCTCTGTACAGCAGGTCATATATAGGCTAGTGATTGCAGTATTATGGTTTAAGGGAGGTTCTCATGGGTGGCTCTGGGATCCTTAGTTGTGATTGAACAGACCATGAAAGCTGCGGACTATCTGGACATAATTGCGAATTAATTGCATCTTTACATGGCACAACGTTCGATGTCCCAAAGCTCAAACTGTGTTGTGGTTTGAAGAGCATAAGATCAATTCCGATTAATGTCCTGGCCACCCAACTTGCTAGATCTTAACCCGATAGAGCATATTTTGGATGTTATGGAATGGCAGTTCAGATCTTAAACACCACCATGTTGGACTATTTCGACTTTGTGTGAAAGCTGCTTAAACATTTGGTATGTGTCTCCAGTCATCTGTCAAGAACTTGTGGCATCTGTGCCGAGGCAAGCTGCAGCTGTTTTGCAGGCCAAGGGTCACACAGCAAGTTATTGAGTAGATGTTATGTTTTGGCTCTTCGGTGTAAAATGTTTGAGTTGAGAGATTAAGTTTATGACAATGGAATATTTTTTAAGAATGTCACATGACTGGGATTTTATAAAAGTGAGAGTTGTATAGTATTATTCTTGTATTGTCTGTAGATGTGCATATTTGCAGGGGAAAAAATTTATATGCAGAAAGCTTGGATGATGTTTTGTGAACTCATCTTTTCATTGGTGGACTAATCATAGCTAAACAGAGTTTTATAAAAAGTTATTCAAAAGGAATGATCTGATTTAAAATTTAAATGACTAGCAAATTAGAATGATTAGTAATACATGAATGTGAGTGAAAAGGTTTGAGTTTTATTGATGGATGTCCAGTATGATATCTTTTAGTCACACATATAATGTCAGGTGAAAAGAAAGTTTCTGGCAAACACAATCTGATGTGTCAGTGGCTACTATTTCTAAAGCAGCAGAAATGTGTTTCTTATGCTTATGTGGGCTTAGGTGGCACTGACACCTTATTTTTCACATTCGTACAAAGGTAAAAGTCACGAGGAATAATATCTGGTGATCTAGGAGGCTAGCTGTTTAAAACTAAATCCTTTGGGAGCTTCTGACCGACATTGAGCAGATGACAATAGATAAAAGAACACATGACATTTTCACTTTTACTAACACAGAAATTTTTAATTTACTAACTATTGCCTTGTATTATTTATATGAATTGCCACACTACCTGGAAAACCAGAAAACGTCAGGGAATTCAAAAATTGACCAAAAGATTCAGGGTAAAGTCAGGGAATTTAAATATTTTAGTCAAAATCTGGAAAAGTTGGGAATTTCATACAGCAATCCCCCCAAAAAAGCGAGTTTTGCACCGATGGAAGCGATCACTTTCTTGTCGAATTATGTATCATGTAAGCATCATTCGGTCAGCTGGCATAGAGCCAATGTTTGCAGCTCCAATTAAATTTTCTTTTAGAAACGCAAAGCAAGTTTCCAGCAACTTTTTGGTTTCCAGTAACCTCGAGAATCGAGAGACTCACATGCACAGTGCATGTTGAAATAAAGAAAATACATATTCTTGTGTAAAACAAAATCAGTTTAATCCTAGTATATGATACTATGGAGGTTAGAATAGCCTCCATGTGTATTCTGTTTTAACCTCCATGTACGGTACACACGGGTTTTGTTGAAATTATGATGAGCAGTAATTGGGTCGTTTTGGTGCTGGCGACAATTTTCAAAATCGTGCCTAGGCCATAGCATATACTAAGATTTTACTGCAAAATCTTTTAAACCTTTTTTTTTCTTTTTAATAAGTGTCTTATTTGTCATTCCGCAGGAAAATAAAAAAATAGCAGCCACCTAGGCTAACCATTTAATATAACTATATTCGCTAAAATATCGTTGATTATTCTAATTCAATTTTTAAGTAATTATCTTCATTTTAATGTTATTTGTATCATTTAATGTAGCTTCTTTCCTCTAAATTTATTTATTATTGGTAAATAATGCTTTTAAATTTCCCAAAATGTTTTCTGTCATAATTCTGAAACTAATTCTAGCAGTGTGATGGCATACTATCACAAAAATTTAATGCACATATTTTTTGTTTATGTATGCTGCTAAATAAATATAAAATACCTGGCTGCTAAATAAATATAAAATACCTGAATTTATTAAAAAAATATCATTAAACAGATTTCTTTCTTTCGTTTAGATGCAAAATGTCTGCAAAAAAAGACATTCTTTAATCCAGATTGGGCAGATTTGAAGTTCAAGCTTCAGTGGAGAAAACAACTCCTATTATAGTTATAATAGTAATGTTTTGGGGATTACATATGTTATATATATGTATAAGTCATATGTAACTGGCAAATGTTTGTGTTTTCAAGTGGTACCAGAATTAATTTACCTCTTAGCACAGCCAACATGCAATACCTGAATAGACTGGAATTTTCTTAAAACACACTCAGAAAAGTCGGGAATTTCATTCTCTTGTTTAAGTGGCAACCCTGATTTATGTACCAAGGCATTTTGTGTTTACATTAACATAATAGTCTTCATTTTATTTTGTTAATTTTAAATCTATAAAGGTTTGAAATCAGATTATTATTTCTAAATTACAAAAAGAGAGTGTTGTAAAGAGATCTGTGCACAGTTTTTGCATGTAAGGGCTTTAAATTAGAAGTATCTTAGTTTTCATATTGATATTATACATCAGCTTTAAATTAATGATGTCATGTTCAGGATTGTTACCAGTACAGCCAGTGGGGCTACACCAAATAACAGAATTTTGGAAAGGGGAACCAGATCAACAAAAGTGTAGGGAGAGGAAAATTTTTGTAACTTAAAGAGGATCGGACAGCAGAATTTATTAGCTGCAGAAATTGCACCAGTTGCTAAATCCTAACAGAGCCTTGAATTTCGTTTTTTCTAGTGCAATGCAGTATGCTTATTTAATGAGGTTCTTAATTAAATAAATCATATTCTTTTGAAATTTAGTTTAATCTTGTATAAAATGTCCGTGAAAGTTGAATTTTACTTAATATGTCACTATTTTTTTTCCCCTAAACTTGTGTTTGAGAAGTTTTCCAGCACTTGAGAAATGCAATTTGTAAAGCTGCATTAAAGGGCTTACTTAATGTTAATCTAAATCTGTAGAATTCTTCCAGTCCCTGGTCAAACTATTTTGAGATGCTGAAAAAGAGAATGAAAAAAATTATTATTATTGTGTGTTCTTAATATTGTAGCAGTACTAAACTGTACTGAGTTATGATTGGCCTTTACCTAATTATGAGAAATTGTTATTTGGTATGTATAAATTAAAACTATTTTATTTTCTTGCTTTCTTTAATGATGTAGAAAGTCTATGAAAACAGAGACTTAAGTAATTATACAAAATTAACTAATAGATACTGTTTAAGTATAATTCATGAGTAGATTTAAAAAGTCCTTCTAAAAGAAAATTTTATTTTGAATTTAATAGTAAGTAAATGTTATCAAGCTCATAGGATGTATTTAAATATGAAGTGAAAACAATTATAAATAATTATAAATAAATAAAGGCTTGATAAAGATTTATGGTCTAAAAGAAAGCCATCACTGCCTTGCTTACATGTTCCAGAAGGTATAATTTTGGCTGCGTAAAAGAAATGAAAAGGGGGAAAAAAAAAGCATTAAAAATCCATTAAAGAATTTTTTTAGTAAAATTTTATAGTTTTTGATGAACATTTAATTGATGTCTTTTTTTATATTTATGATAAACATTTGTATAATTTTTGGCTATTTGCAAGAAAAATGGCTGTTTTTCTATATTCTTAAGCATATTTCTTCTGTAAAACATAATTCTCTGATTTTTAGAGCTTTCAAGATTATGTAAGATTATCCAAGCTTGATGTATATAATCCTGAAAATCATAGTGGCTATTGGAGGCAGCTAACTGTAAGAACATCCAATAACTCTGATGTTTTATTAATTGCAGTCATGCATCCTCAAATGCTGACTGAAGTAAGTTGTTAAAGTCCTTAGTAGAAATTTATTAAATTCAGTTTTAAAATGTTTCTTTAATGGCAAATACACTGGTTATCATTAATTAAAAAAAAATCACAGAAATGGTAAGTACTCAAAAAGTTACATGTAGAATTTAATGCAGCTGACCCATTGTATACGACATATAGTAAGGTGTAAAATAACATGAAAAGAAATTACCAGACAATTATGGTGTTATAGAAATTAGCATATGTATAAAATGAACAAATTGGATGCGTCAGTTTGGTATAGGAAAATTACCTTTAATATGGAGTATGATCTTCCCTAGAAGCAAAACTACACATACAGTGATGTGCAATGCTGTCAATTATGAAGTCATATCAGATCTATAGGAAGTGAAAGGCCATTGCTCTTGCAAAGCAGTTACAAGGGTGGCAAGGGTCTGAAGAGGAGGATTGAGAGCACCTGTACATCTTCCTACAGCATCCTAAACATGCTCGATAGGATTCAGCTCTTCTGATCCAGCTGGCCACTCCAATGAATGTGCTGCTGAAGATAATCATGCACGATGCGAGCCCTGTGCGGTCTAGCTTTGTTGCCCTGTAGCAGAAAATTATCATAAAATTATCATTTATTGTCCTCTCTCAGGGGCTCACTTTCTGTGAGTACGGGTGTGGCAATCCCGAGGTACCCTAGCCTTTGAAGGGATCACTTTCTTGGTGAGACGGGAGTCACGAACCTGTAGCCCTTAGTGATCTTTCCTCCCTTCCTTTTCATCTCTTCTTTTCTGTACTAATTTCATTTCTTCTGCCCTCGTGGTTTTCCTTTTCGAAGGTTCAGGATAAAAGTGAGATTCTGCTACATCCCTTTGTTTAGAGTTTCTCACGGAGAGAAAACCACCTATGCATTTGCTGTGCGTTGTGACCCATAAGGCTAGAAAGGAGGGTCCTGGTAGTTGAGGGGCAAGGTACTGTCCCCAACACACTGCTTTGGCCTCTGCTTTAGATTGAACCGGGAAGCACTTAGTTGTCCCCGCTAGTGTTAATCACCTATTGTCCTGGCATAAGAGCACACATAAGCATCAAGGATGTCCTCTCTATAGGCCTGAGCAGTCATGGTTCCATGTAGAAAGACATGGAGGTCTATGTATCCACCCAAAGAGATACTACCCCAAGCACAGACGCTGTCTCCTTTGTATGCATCTCTTTCACAGATGTTTAATAGATGGTAATGGGTTCCAGGCTCTCTTGAGATCAAATAACGCCTACTATCGCTTTGCAGGCTAAACCTGGACTCATCTGTAAAGGAAACAGCTTTTCATTGATCAGCTGTCCAATGGACATATGGATGCATCCACCTCAAACATTTCCTTCTATGACGTGACATGAGTGGCACGCAAACGGCTGGTCACCTCATGTTCAGACCTCCTTTGTGAAGCCTTCTATGCATGTTTGATGTTGACACTAACCTTCCAGAGACTGCAGCAAGATAGGTTCAGAGTTGAGGTTCTATTCCTTTGTGTGCATAACAACAAATATCTGCCATCAGTGCTCATTGTGGTGCTTAACCGTTCTAGGCGGAACATCCTGGATGCTGAATCTGTGGTTAGAAATGTTGCCAAAGTCTATAAATCACAGAAGGACTAACATTTAGCCATCTGGCCATTCTGTTTGACTTCCCTGAATCTAGTCTCCCAACAGCTCTCCATCCATGACCTTCGAGAAATAAGGCCGTCTAGCTCTCTCGTGACGTCACGATGAGGAGTGCGAAGAAATCTCTCTCCTGCATTCGAAGAAGTGAACTCTAGCCCGCAATTTACAGTAAGCTAATTTATTTTATTCTGATGTAAAGTAACAGGAATTATTAAATAAATGATACTATCTTAAATTTATTATATATCCCGCTTTAAGACTTAGATATCTGAGATTATTTTTCTATCCTGATAAAATTTCACGTGGATGATCAATAATTATTTATATTAGTCCTCATTTTTTTCCATAGTTTGGATAAAATGTTCCAACACTTCATAACGCGGGAATTGTTAAGCTTTTCGAATTGCAAACGAACATGCATATTATTTTTAATTCATATATAAACGTAAAAAATATGAATAAAAGAGCATTTTACAAGAACCACTTTTTCTTACCGACCTTTTAAATATATATAATTTCTCAGTATGGTGATAAAATGAAGACTAGCATTTTTCAGTTATTACATTTATTTTTAAACAATTTAAGTGTAGAAGATCTTTATATAAAACTAAATATTAAATGGAATATTTCAAGCATTTATTTATTTATCGATATAAATACATTAATTTATTTCTTAATGTCAACATGTTTAAAAAACTGTCAAATGGTGTTATTGTTATATTAAAATAATTACTAAACTTGCAGTGATCCAGATTCTTACAGAATAAAAACCAAAGATCTATTTTTAAACTGTCACAGAAAATCATTTTACTTTAATTTCGCCGACTGTCTTTATTAAACACTTTTTTTAAATTTTGATATGAGTTCTTACTATTTTATATTACTCTTTAGCGAAATCTTGATAAATCCACATTAGAGTTTATGATCATAATAGTTAATTTCGTAGCTCTCTAGATTGAAAGTTGTGCCTGTAACTATGTATGAGTTTTGATTCTTTGGATCACTTATGTGTATGCTTAAATTCCTTAAGGGCAAAAAGAAGGGGGAAAATAATAATTCTCTGAAATATTAATAGACAACATTTTGAAAGAAACAAACTGCAGAATTATGTTTTAAATTTTAAAATATAAAAGGTAGTTAGTTAGCCGAGGTTCCCACATCTCGTTATCGAAGTGCACGTAGTAGAGCCTATATCATATCAGGAGAATGCAATGATAGTATAGGTTACCGGACGTCCCTTGCAAAAGCACTTCATTCTCCTAGTGTATTTAATCTTTTTAATTGTTTATTTACTGTTTCCATTTAAAACATCATATACTCTATAGCTTTTCAAAAATTTAGCATTTTGCTAATGTATGAAGTTTAATTTAAAAAAAGTAACAGCAAAATTTTAGGGGGAAAAAATGTAAGCTTTATAAGCAACTGGTGTAACAATATTGTTTTTAAGTTTTGTTTATATATTTTTAAAAATATAATATTAAATAATATTAAATACAATTTTCACAATAATTTTGAAAATATTTAAAAAACATTTTAAAAAAAGATAATCTGAAAAACACAAATTTGAATTTTTAAATGAAAAATATTATTACTTTTAAATCTTTAAAACTATAATGACAAATACATTAAAAAAAACTGAAATAAATTAGATATTACAAATAATTTAATGCTATATGATTAATATATAATCATAATGCACATCGTTTCAGCAATACATGAAATAAAATTGACTATACATTAAATAATCCTGTAGTGTTATTACTTAATTAATTTATTGTTTACTTTTACATTTTACACAAGTTATTGTTTACTTTTTAAATATTTTACACTAGTTTTTCAGTGGAAATCATTTTAGCTTTAAAAACAGACATATTAAACATATCTTTAAATATCTATAAAATCATTGTAATGAAACTTCACCCTGCTGTTTTTAGTCGGAATGAAGTCCTTCCATTTTATTGCACGTATCCATTTTTACATCTGCATCAACAGGAAAAGCAAAAATATGTATTGTAATTTCAGTTACATCGCGGCACTGAACACATGTAAGACATTGTATTGTTTCTGGAACAACCCACAAATTGCAAAAAAACTCAAATTTAAAATGTCCGACTATGAAAAAAGCACGGTATGTACCAAGATTTTAGGTCAATAATAGCAGTTCAACCACTTCTCTCGTAGCAATGGCGACTAACAATAACCTTTGACTCAAAGCTGCCCTCAAACCCAAAGAGGGGTGCACTCTCTGTACTGACGTCATGTGCTCTACGTCACCGAGCTGTATGGCCTTGTTCTCGAAGGCAACGCTCCATCTCAGTTTTTCGATTATGATTCTCATCTCAGTTTATGATTCATACGTGGTGGTGACAAAATGTCTTGAGCATTGTTTTTGTATCAAATTTGTAATTAATATACTTACTTGCCTTGTACACTGCTCAAAAAAAGAGGGGGGGACAGTTCTATATCTCTCGTTCTACTGGGCCGATTCGAGAAATTCAAATTGTGTTTTACATGTCCCGAAAGCACGACTTAGGATATATATTAGATTTATATATAGCATTGTTCTAATATAAGTATTTTGACACAAAATCAGACTTTTTCTGAAATGACATGCCAATTTTTTTCCATATTTCGATTCGACTCAAATTATGACTAAAAATTAAATTTTGTAATTTTTTATGAGAAATTTATTAAGAAATTAAAAAAACTTATGTTGGTGCATTTTTTTCAGTTTGAGACAAGAAGAATTCACTTGGCGAACTTCTTAATTTATAGCAACCTGTTTTCCTTTCCTTTTTCTTCATTAGTCCATGAGCGGAAAAATGTCATCGCTCATACGTTTGTAAATAATTTTAACAAAGTAAATGCATTTTAACGACTAACCACATTTGGCATTATTATTCGCTTATAATAAAATATGCCAAATTTCAAAATGCACCAATATGTAAATTCATGTATATGTTAGAAAATTTTGAATAAAAACTGTAATTTTTTGCAAGTGTGTTTAGAAATATATCTACTTTAAGATGATGTTAAAAATTTTATAGGTCATAATACCAAAATTTTGAAAAATTTACAAAAAATATTTAAAAAGAAATTATAAAAATGTGCGAATTGTATTTGGATCAAGCCTAAATTTCGAATTCTGAAAGAAGATCAAGCAAGTTTAATAAAAAAGAGAGATGTTAACAAATATATACCAAATTGAATTAACATTGAGGAGCTAAAATTTTGAGAGCTAATTTTTTAAAAAACTACTTGTGTGATTTTTACAAAACTTGGCAGTTTGGCCTAAAGGCTGATTTGTGTCAAAACACCTATATTAGAACAGTGCTATATATAAAGATACATATCCTAAGTCACGCTTTCGAGACATGAAAAACACAAGTTGAATTTCGGGAATCGGCTCAGTAGATCGGAAGATATAGAACTGTCCCCCCCTTTTTTGTCTTTTCTTTCTTTCTTTTTTTTTTTCTTCTTTTTTTTCTTTTTTTTTTTTTTTTTTGTATGTGGTGTGTGTATGTGTGTGTGTGTGCGTGCGTGCGTTCTCAGTGAACGTATTTGAATATATTATTGTCAGAATCAGGCAGACAAAGTAAAATTTAAAAAATATATATATATTTAGTTTTCTTGATTTAACAACCGTATCTCACATTTATAGTTAGAAATATCATTTGTTCATATTCACTTTAACAAGTATTGCTAATGAATAATTCTTGCATACTAATCTGAAAAGTGTATCTCTTTTTTTATGCTGTTAATGAAAGTTTTTCTAAAATTAAATTTCAAAGAACATTGACGTAAAAATAGGTATTAAGTGTTGTATTTGTTCTAGCAGTTCTTCATTTCATCCATTTTCATTTGCGTAATGTGAACTTGAAAATGTGTAACAGATCTTGTGCTTCTGCCAAATGTAAAATTGTTAGATTTCTTAACTCCCAAGTTTATGCCTAATTTCTTTGAAATTTAATAAAAAAAATGGTCCCTATATATAAAAAACATTATATTGTTTTGTTTTTTAGTCAAGTGGTGCAGTAGAAGAACCTTATGAGTGTAGTCTTGTTTTTAATTTTTATTAGTATTATTTTTATTAGTATTACAACCTATAGTTTCAATGATTTGTTTCATGTTCATTTAGTTTAAAAGAGTTCATGAATTCTAAAACTTGCAAAAGAATTGAAAGTTTCTATATATAAGTAAATTATTAGTACCATTTTTAGTGACACTAGTTATAAAACAGGTGTGCATATGTCTACTAAATTAAAACTAATAAGAAATGGGCCAAATAATATTTTTAGATTTAAATCTGTTGCAAAGCATAATTTTCTTATTTGGGTCAGTAATGTCATAAGCATGTTTTAGTTACTGCATGTGAAATAACTAAAATGATACATTTATTAAAAAAAAAGATGTATAAATTTACATGAATAATAATTTTTCCGAAATTATGATAATTCTTAAAATATTTATTTTCTAGGCTGAATTGGAGGAAGAAAAGCAAAAATTAAAAGAATATTATGAAGTGGGTCCAGGATCACAGTGCGGTGTGACTTCCGTATATTTTCAGCTCTTTTCGAAGAAAACATCTAATGAAGAAATTTTACCTTTGACTCATTTAATGGGTAAAAAGGTAATATGAAACATTATTTTTTTTAAGATGCTTTTGTTATCAGTTAAGTTTAGTCTTCATATATATATATACACACACACACGTGTAATAGCTTGGAGAGGTTTATTGTGTAGATAGAATGATAACACTTCCAGACAGGTGTGGCTGTAGCTTCAGTATAATTTTATTACTGTATTACACAATTCTAGATTCATAATCTGATGAGGGGCACATAGCTTAGCATATCTTAGCACAATGGATAATAGACAGAAGCAAGTGTTGACTTGTTACTTGTTACTTTGATGTAGGCAAGCAGGAAAGTGTGTAGTTATCCAGTAAGGAGGCATAGTTTAACAGAAGAAAGATTTTGATTTGGAAATTTTAAGTTCCAAATGAACTACATCGTACATTGTATTGTTTGCTTATGTTATAATCAAAATAATATATATAAAGCATCGCTTTCATATCGCTTTGTGTGTTAACTTTATTTTAAAAATGTGTTATATTTTTGTGTGGAAGGGTAAACAGTTAAACTTTAGCTAAATCTTCTTTCCCCCCCTCTAAACCAGTGGTTTTCAGGTTGTGCTCCTTTTCTACCAAAGTATGATATATAAAATGGGTAAATTTCTGAATGAAATTATCAGTTTAACCCTTTCGCCGTCCTCTCCTGCCCGCGAAAATTTCTCTCCAGCGGCACTTTGTTTTTCGCAGCGTGTAATGCTGTTTTCTCTGTACATACATAACTTTCACAATGGATGAATTTAAATTAATGTTAACTAAAATTATAAGGAAATAAAGCATAATGGAAAAGTAATAGTATCTCTGCTTATTTCTAACAGCAAGATTAATTTGATAACATCTGATCCAGGCGGTTCACTCCTTCCATTTTGTTGTTGTAATCTTTTACAATTATTGGTTTTTTTTACAGTCCTTTTCCGTGTTTCAATGTCAATCATAAAGTTATTATGGACTGTACTCATCAAACATATATACTTCTTATCTTTCCATTTCACAACCTCATTTTTTCTCTTTTTCTGCTGAGTAGACATTGAAGATCTCTGTCTTTCATCTTATGTAAAATGGCGTATTCATAAAACCCGCGGGGGGGGATTTCAATTAGAAATAGAATGCTTGATTAGTACTGCCCTCTAGGAGGTTTTAGAATAAACCAAAATAAAACTCAAACAAGTAAACATATAGAGAGCATTTTAAACGTTTAAAAGTTTTAAAATGTAGAAGAACGCTTGAAGCGCGTTACGGCTGCCCTGCAGAAGTTTCACTTGAATGGGCTAGACACGTTACGGACGACAAAGAGGTTAATTGAGCAATATACAGTCTACAAATTATCGCTAGTTTTAAGTTTTTTAATTCATTTTTCCTAAATTAAATGAATTCAGTACTTTGATTTTTGTTGTGTCTAGGTTTGAATTTTTCTGTAATAAGTTTCCATTATTAATTCTAATACTTAATATATGAAAATAAAATTTAAATAAAGATATATATATATTTTAAAATCAGATTAAAAATATTGTTCTTTTAAATGTATAAGCATTTCTATTATTTAGTTTTCTGAAGAGAACAGTGATTGAAAATATGAAAGAAAAGGTAACATTTTCGTTTTATTGGTGGAATTAAAAAGTGATTTTAGCACAATGTGAAGTCTTGGCCAAGATTGCTCTTGGCAGTTGTCAACTTGTCCTAAAAAGGAAGTTGTCATAAATAAATTTAAAAAAAAATTCCAACTAGCAAAATATTGTCAATCAGAAACAAAGAAATTTTTAACTTTGATTTTAGTTTAAAAAATTTAGTTCATGATTCTTGACCAAATCTTCTTAACAATACTAGTGCCAAATATTGAACTCTTTTCGAATATGGTAAATGTTCCAAATCATTTAAATGAACAGAATTTGCTTTACATGAAGTAGTAGGTCCATTTTAATTTTATAGCTTAGGGAAAGAAAAAAGGGGAAAAAAAGTTTGTATTATTTTCAAACTTCTACTTAGGTATTGATCAAAATTACTTTTGCTTTTTAGGTGAGCCTAATCCAGATTAGGTGCACAATCTGATTCAACTAATTTATCAGCTAACTTATGCTATTACTCAAAAGTAAATATGAATTTGAAGAGCTATTATTCAAATTAACAGAAGTACATATAGTGCTAAAGCTCTTTTTTTTTCTCCTGGTTTTTCCTTTATATTATTATTGTAATACTTTTTCTTGAAAGGTTGAGCTGCTAAAGTAAAAAATAATTCTCGGGAATAAAACTGATTCAAAATGAATTGCAGCAAATGTGAAATATTTGCAGTTACTATTTAAAAGTTGTTGATGGAATCTGCGTACTGATAGGATTCTTGGTTTCAGCAGGAATAGATTATTGCCTTGTTGCACATTAAATTAATTGGGTTGAGGAGAAAATGACAACTATGTTTTATGCAGCTTCTGACAATACATTGTATATATAAAAATAATTGATGCAAGAATAAAAAATGGGAGCTTCAGTTATATATAATAATGAAAATATTACCATGGAAGCTATGGAATGAAGATAATTGAAATTATGAAATAGAAGTAAATTTCCTCTATGACTTGGAAGCTAAATAAATTCTTTAAAAACTGCTCCCAAAATAATTCATTTAGTTCATGGCAGTGGAAACTTCTGTCAAATGAAACCTTTAGCATTAATTCTGAAAGTTTAGATGAGGCGATAGAGTTTACAAACTGAAACTCATAGTCATTCTTATTCTTTTAGTAATCCTGGCAAACTAAATGATTTTTTTAAATCCAGTTATGCCAAACAGCATGAGAATTGCTTAGAGGGTAAATATCTACAGTCAGATATTTGTAGTCAGATAACAGAGAAAGAAGAAATCTTGATACATGAATACTAGATACCACATGAGTTCACTTACCTTCCTTTCCAATAAATGACAAAAAGATTCGAAGTACTTTTTCTCCCTACGGAACAAGAGACAGGAAAATTTTCTTTAATACATTTGTGACTGTTTGGAAAGGGGGAGGAGAACAAAATAATAATAATAAAAAATCTGAAAGCTTTCAGATTTTACATTATGCCCAAAGAGGCATTTTTTTAACGCTTTGTGTGTTACCTTTATTTATTAACTAACATGTTTTTCGCACTTAAATAATAAAATTCAGTTCAACAACAATATCGCAAAATAATTTTAAAATGAGTGTATCTCTAGAATTTCTGATACACAGTCTCGCACGCTGGAGATAAAAAAAAATAAAATTTTCCCCTGTACAGTGTTGCCATTGCTTGGTTTGAAATCTTGAGTTTGTTAATCAAAAATTCAAGATAATAAAACAAATTCCAAATTTGTTATTTCAGATGCCCATATTCGGGTGGAAAAATATGTTAATCAAAATTTGATGGCTCTAGGTATCGCTGTTTTATTACAATGCGAGAAACATGCACACATTTATGCAGATTCTTCATTATATAATTTATTTAAATATAACTCAGGGTGATAATATTTGGTGGCAACAATTTGAAAAGTGAACCGACATTCATAGTGAATCAACGCAAAATGCCAAAACGAAATTAATAGTCCTTCTAGGCAAATTGCCCCTTTTGTTACTATTAATTCCTAAAAATGCTGCGGTTACCCCCCCCCAAAAATCTCGTATGAAATCCCAGACATTAAGTGTAATAATTAAGCATTAAGGAAACTCCAGGAAGTACTTTAAAATATTATCTATACCAGCGGTTCTCAAACTTTTATCTAATGCGTACCATCTAAGCAAAAATTAAAAACCTTTAGTACCACCACTATATTTTACAATGATTATTTTTCAATTTTTGAATATATTACGCTCAAAGGGGCCTTTTTTTAACGTTTTGCATCTTACATTTATTTATTAAATATCATGTTCTTCACACTTAAACCATAAAATTTAATTCAACAGCAATATCACAAAATATTTAAAAGAGCATATCTTTAGAATTTCCGATGCAGTCTCATGCACTAGAGATAAAAAAAATTTTTTTTTTTTTTTTCATACAATGTTGCCATTGCTTGCTTTTAAATCATTGAATTTGTTAATAAAAAGTTCATTAAAGTTTGACAAAATATGAAATCGATAATAAAACAAATTCCAAATTTCATATATTCATTTTCCATATTCGCAGTTGGATTACATCATTCAAAATTGGATGGCTTTAGGTACCGTTGTTTTATCACAATGTGAGAAGCATACATACATTGATGCAGATTCTTCATTATTTAATTTCTTAAAATATAATACAGGGCAATCATATTGGGTGGCAAAAATTTGAAAAGCGAAACAGACATTTAAATTTTCAACACAAAATGCCAAAACGAAGTTAATAGCCCTTCTGGGCTAATTTCTTTTGTGCTAAAAATGAAAGAAAGAAAATCTGAATTCATGAATCTGAATTGAAAAAGTTCATTTTATTACAGTCTTTAATCCAGATGTCCGTAATCCGGAATGATCTATAATCCGGACCTCAAAGCTACAAACTTTCTGTGCATGTGTAAACGCATATTGCGTTTTCGCATATACTGCTGTTCATGCTATAGAATGTCATATATTTACAAATATCTACTGAGAACATTTGAGTGTCGGTCTTTTCAGAAAAATGTAAACTATGCCCTTTAATGGTGAGGCCGTGATGTGAATGTTTTCATAGCATGTAATACTTTAGATTTGTAGTTTGCAGCAGGTTTTATGTGTAGTTACTCTTAGAAAATTTTGCATGAAGACTCACTTTAATACTTCCTCAGAAGTTAATTTTATTAATGCAGAGCTGATGAAGACCTATATTTACATTGCAGCACAATGCTTTTGGGGAGATTTTCTAGGGTAACGGACTATTATTCACATTTTTCCATGAAGATTTCATGCAACTAATCCATTTGCTTCCAAAAAACGTAATGCAAATTACTAGTAGTCAGCAGTTTTACAGAGGCTGTTGACAATTTTTTTAGCTGATCTTGCTTTGCTGTTTAAAAAAAAAAAAAAAAAAAAAAAAAAAAAAAAAAAATTCTGCTTGGAAATTTTTTAACTGCAACTATACTTATTTTTTGAGGTATAAATTATTGTCTACTACTTGAGAGTTTTGTTTTTATGCAAAATGTTGCTTTTAAAGAAGCAATGGATGGAAAGTTATGTTTGTGTTCTTTCCAAAGAAAATTATTCTTATCTAGTTATTAAAAAACATTGTGAAACCCATGGTTTTTCGATATCTTCAGCTTGTTGTCAGCAACAAAGGGAAAAAGTCAAAATTTAGGTTCAAATGGAAAAATTGTTCCAAATATGTATCCAAGGAAAAAATGGAAGGTTTCGAGAGGTAAGATTTTTAATATTAAAAGAAAATCCACCAAGTCTAAGAACAGTTACAAAATCATTAAAATGCTCAGTGTCAGTTGTAAACAAAGTGATTAGTGCTGATTTTAATCTTAAAAGGGTGGGGAGAAAAATGTGCGTCGTCTTTCTCTGTGACATATCGCCGAAGGCAGAACACGCTGCAGAATTCTTTATGAGAAACATTTACCTGGACAAAAATGGGAAAATGTTGTCACAATAGACAAATCTTGGGTGTACTTAAATGACTGAGATAAAAAGAGATCCATTTATTATCATCAAAGAGGGGGGAAAAATCTTCAAACATGGTTTAAGGAATCTAAAAAAAGTTGATTTATGATTGTTGCTGGTTTTTCATAAAACAGCAAATTAAAAATACAGAGAATGGGGAAAAATGTTAAGATCAACTCCACATGTTATCAAAAACATATTTTATGCCCAGTTTTCAAATATGAAATACCTTCTTTTTACACACAGTGGGATGAATCAGTAGAACTGCATGAAAATAAAGCAAGCGGTGACATGTCAAAATCTACTGTTAATTTCCTGGAAAAAATGCAACGAGACACAGGTATCAAGGGTATACCCTTCTCTCATATCCCTATTAAACTGATCTGTCGCCAATGTATTTTTGTGCTTTTGAACTTGTAAAAAGCAGTTTGTCCAAACATCAACCTATAACCTCCTTAGACTTTGGAAAGCTGTTCAAGAGCATTTGGAAAAAAATACCTCTTCCGATACTACAAAAGGCTTTATTTATTGTCTTGGATATTACAGTGTATAAAGATAGTGAAGAATAAGGGTTATCAAATAGAACATTTAAAACATAAAAAATTTAGGTAAAATATTTCTGTAATTACAATGAAATTCTTCTAAAAATGTGCAAACAACCTCTATAGCTGTTGGCCACTAATAGTTTCCTTCCCAGTAAGAGATAGTATGCTTTATCACAACCAAATAATCCAGTCGTGTAATTTAGAAGGATGTGGGAGTAAAATAATTATTTAAGCATTATTGGTGCTGATTATCATTCTTGGCCATCATCTTCTGTTTGGGATAGTACTTCGAAGTTGATGCTAAAGAATTTGGCATGCTCGAATGGTTGTTGAAATATTCCTATTCTTAATTTTCCAATTTTAAAAATCTACATGATAAAATTTTAAATGCTGTATATGCATAAAATGAAATGTCTCCATTATACATGTGCTGCATGCTGATATATTTAGAGGGTGATTTAAAAAATGATAATGTTTAGGAATTTGGGTTGTTCTGGTATTTCAAATAGAGAACAAAACAACAGCGTATGAATAATGCATAATAAAATGGTTATTCTATGTATATATGCTTTGTTATGTGTGGTAATTGTTCTAATTTTCAAAAAACTTGCATTTCAAATGTTTGTGTAAATCTAATTATAACAAATCAAATAATGTCTCACATATTTTAATTATATTTTTCATAAGTTATTTAAATCATTATTTGTTGCATTCTTTTTTTTTTCCTGCTTAGTGCCTTGAAGAAACATTATTAGGAATGAAGTTTCAAATTAGTCCTGAAGCATTTTTTCAAATTAATGTCCCTGCTACTGAAATATTGTACTCAATGGTTGCTGATTTTGTTGGTACTTCATCATCATCTGTCTTAGATATTTGTTGTGGAACAGGAACCATTAGTTTGTGTCTAGCAAAGGTGTGTTATTAATTTAATATTTTTCTCAGTATAATTACTTATTATTAAGGGTTAAATATAGTATTATATTGGAAATTACACATTGTATGACGTATGATCTTGGAAAAAAGAAATAGATTAACTTAAATTTAAGTTTCTTAGCACTATTCTCCATTGCAATTTAAAAAAATATTTATTCTATATATAATATATGAATTAATTAATGTAGTTTATAACAGCATTAAGGCAATCTGTTTTATGCAAGGTATAAATTTGACCATTTTTGTAAACATAACAAATTTTAAAAATGAGTCATTCTATTTTGTATTTTTGAATCATGATCTTTAGAACCCAGTTATTCAAAGCAGCATAAAAATGTAAAACATCTAATCTAAGTTTTTGATTTTGTATGAGTTTTTACTTAAGTATTATTGTATTTAATTGCATATTCCCACCTCATTTCATTTTTTGTAACTATATAATCAGAATAGAATGAAAAATATCTAATAGCATCTAAAAAATAAAAAAATAACCTCTTATTATATGTGATTATTTTTTGCAATGATATGACTTTTATAAAATACTTTTAGTCAGGAGCTAAAGTGATCGGCATTGAAATGTGTCCTGAAGCTGTTGAGAATGCCCAGTTAAATGCTAGACAAAATGGTGAGTAATTTTCTTCATCTGAAACTGAAAAATGAAATCAGTAGAAATTTTGAAGTGTTATTTAACACAAAATTTTGGACATTTAATACAAAGTTTAAATGTTTGTAATTTGATATTTGCTGATAAATGCTATTAAATCTCATCATTTCTTTGTAATTGTGCACACTGTAATATATTGTTAATGAAATCATTTTAATTCAGGTTTGGAAAACGTTGATTTTATATGTGGGAAAGCAGAAGATGTTATTCTAGCAGCTATTAATAAATGTGAAGAATCTAATATTGTAGCAGTAGTCGACCCTCCTAGAGCTGGTTTACGTAAGTTATTATATTTTATTAACTGACATTTCCATTTTAAAAAGTTAAATAAATTCTAAAATAAAAACTGAATTTTAATCTGAAAGAGGAAATAAATCACATAAACTGTTAAGAAATAAAATTTAATATGCTTGTATTAATTCTGAAAGATCTGAAATCATATCGTGTGATTTTACAAGGGTGAATTAAAAAAATAAATTTAAACACATATATTTATACTCTTTTTAAACAATGGAACATGTTTTTATTTATTGATTTAAAAACACATGGCTTTTGGTATTTAAGCAGTTATCTGTCTTGCTTTACAGTACTTCTGGGTTACAAAATTAAAACCATTTAGCTCCTGGCATGCATTAAAATTTTCTGTATCCTTGGTTATCTAGAGCCACAAAAAGAGCACATTGGAAAATTTCTGGTGTAAAACAAGTAAGCATTAAGGCAATCTTGTGTACTTAAAAGATGAAACAGTGCCACAACTGTAGCACAGGGAGAACTTGCCAAGCCTTTTTGCCTAGCTTTTATGCATTGAGTTGAATCATAAATCTGTTTTTTATTTTTTTAAATATATTGATATATGCATACAATATGCTCCCACCGCAAGGCATTATATCACTCCATTCAATTTCTTCATTTCTTTGGAAAAGAAGTTATTCTCTTGCTTCTGAAATCACTTCATTTCATCAGAAAAGAAGTTTTTCTTTTGCTCCTGAAACCAGTTTTGCATTTCAATTCTCATTTAGATCAGTAAGTTTGCTTTGGAATTCACCTCACACAAATTTCAATCTCAAGCCAACATATATTATGGATAAAATAGATCCATGGCTAATTTCAGAGTGCTCTGATCAGTGCATCCACCCTGTGGATATGAAGTTCTGTATGCAATATTAATGGCTGATTAGCTTGAATTTCATCATTATTGGGCTTCCTACTTTAAAACTCTCTGCTCACACATAAACTTTTTTAACAGACAAAGACAATATATGAACATGGTCTTGCTCTATATTAAGAAAATTACAGGGAAGGCTTTCCACTGGATTTTATTCCTTCTGATCGGAGAAAGTGTGCATTATTCTTCAATGATGTAGTTTTTAAATGGAGTGTCAATTTGCCTACAAGAATGAACCATGAATCAGTGTATGCAGTTGACTTATATTACCATATTACATTTTGTTATCTTCTTTCCTCTGCAGTTATTGCATATTTTACAGTGTGCCTTTTATTTTGTGATTCACATGCATAGAAAAAAAAATATTTTATATTAAAAGCAATACTTCTGTCCTACTTATAGATCAAAAGGTGCTAAAGGTCATCAGGGCAACTTCAAAAATAAAGAAACTAATTTACATTGCATGTAATCCTAATGCTGCTTTCAGTAATTTTGTGGAGTAAGTAATATTTTTTTTCCCCTTGCAAGATCATTATCATTCAGTTTTTTCTTTTCATTACTTTTAAATACTAATAATCTATTTTTCAGTCTTTGCCGGAAAACATCTAACAATTATAAAGGCTGCCCTTTCTATCCTGTTCAAGCTGCTGTTGTAGATATGTTTCCATATACTCCACACAAGGAGTTGGTTTTAATATTTGAAAGAGATGAAACTATTAAAGAATGATTTTTATTTAGTTATTCAGTTGTTTCCTTATCATGTCTGTATGTTTTTTTTATCATGTGTTATTTAATAATATTTACATTTGTAAGGCCAGAACAGACTTTTATTTAATTAAAAATAACTAATTTTCTAAAAAAAACCTAGACTTAATTTTTGTTATAATTTTAACATGCTTTAATTAGTGTATAATTAAAACAATTTAAACTTGAATCTACATCCTTTAAAAAATAAGTTTTAAATATTTTTAGCACTGGCATATAAGTATAGAATTTTACTCATTTTAAGTATCATTTTCCAAATTTTCATTATCATACTGGCAGCGACCATTTCCCAGTAACACACATAAACTTACATAACATTGTTGTATCACTCCATTAGCTTCTTTGTTTCTTCATGAAAGAAGTTTTAACATATATCGTTTATTATTTTAATATCCTAGAATTTATTACATATGAAATTTAGTTTGCCATTAAAAGTGGAGTAATGAGAAATTAATGATGACAGTTACAGAGTTCATTTAATGTGATGCTTTCTTACATTTATTTAGAGTTTTGTAAATATTATAAACTGAAATTAATGATAACAGTAGACATTTTTTTTATGTATGTTCTCCCCTTTTTTAAAATAAAAAGGCATTTCAAATTGCTATAGATAAGATCATCAAAAATATCTTAAAAGATCTTTATAGATATTTTAATAAGATAAAAACCTTTTAGTCTTTCCAAACATTAATTAGAATATCATCAAAAGTTGTCTGAGCATATAGTAAACTCTTTAAAAGTCATCAGAACATATAGTTATTATTTCTTTTGGAAAACTAAGCCTTTTAATGAATTAAAACCTGGGTTAACTTTTTCATTTAATAAACACATAGTTTGTGTCTCTAACAGTTTAAAACTTATTGAAATTGCTCTGAGTAATATGTCAAGGTGCATATTAAGAAAGTTATCCATTACATCTATATTTGTAGATATTTCATGAAACTAAAATTGTTACTCCCATCACAAGATAAGTGAATTTATCGTCTATACAATTGTTTATGGCTCATTAACAATAAATTTATATTGCAAGAAATAATTGACAACAATTATTTTAATATCTTCCCCCTTTATTTTATTTATTTATTTTCCATCTTTTGGCCGGAAATATTTTAATATTAATGTAACATTACAAATCAAACAGCAGAATTTATAGGATAGTATTGAAAAATTTTGATTTGATGTTATCGTTGTCTAAACATAACTTGTTTCATAAAAATGCATGGATGTATTGTTCTGGGAGAATACCAAGTGTATTTTCTATGCACAGAAGATATATTGAAAAATTGCTGATGTTATCCAAAACAATTTTTTTTAATTTATGAATCTTAGAGCATTTAAAATATTCATTATATGCTGAGGTTGTAATCCATGATCTTATTCTGCATGACTGAGTAGGAAATTATTTTATTAAATTTTTAATTTGATTACTGTATTTTAATAATATCTAGAAAGACTGTGAATTTTAAAGATTTTTTTGTATCAGTAAATGTCAGCTTATTTGACATTGTAAAAATTAATTCAATATGTTTTTAAATGTGCAAAAAGCTAAAAAATCCATTTCATTATAATATAAGCTGAAAATACGGCTTATGAACTTACTTAACATGAGGAGAGCCTAGGTTTACTAGTGACAGTAAGCATACAGATTCATTGGTTAAAAAATTAAAATAGGGACATTAGAGCCAAAGAAATGGTAAGAAGGTTAGAGATATGAAACTGCTGAAAAAGTTAGAAATTTGGGATGAATAGATTTTTGAGAATTTGAATTTTATTGGACTGGGGTCACTAGAGATCTCACATGCATGCTCGCTGGTTAATTTGTCACATCACGACATTATTTGAAGATAATTTAAAAAAATTATGAAAGTTTAAACTACTAAAATTATGAAACTTTGGAAAAAACATATGAAATTGTAAAAATGAAACTTTGAAAAAGCAGTTTGAGATAAACTGAAGGCAGTTGGTTTTTGAACATATTGAATATTAGTTTTCTCTGTCGTTTTGATTAAATTATCTTATCTTTATGTATAACAACTAAACAACATCAATATTTAGAAATATTTAAATGTAAATAAGATATTTCATGCTATTCTTTAGATATTAAAGGGGGTGCAAAGTTATGAATATAGTAAAAAATTTATATTGTGAGATAACTAGTGATACTTAGTTACATATTGAATATTAGTTTTTCTGTTGTTTTGATTAAATTATCTTATTTTTGTGTATTACAACTAAACAACATCAATATTTAGAAATATTTAAATGTAAATAAGATATTTCATGCTATTCTTTAGATATTAAAGGGGGGGGGTGCAAAGTTATGAATATAGTAAAAAATTTATATTGTGAGATAACTAGTGATACTTATGTTCTTGAATTTCAATAAGCCAAAATAAATTGAAAAACATTTAGAATTCTATGTAGCAGGATAAAATTTATTTTGTCCATACTGAAGCAATTAATTTTATTAAAAATGTTAGAACATAATTATAATCAGGAAATCCAAAATTTTGTCTTCCATTATTACATTGTAAAAGTGCTTCATATAGTAGTGAAATAATAGTTCTAATGAACAATAATGGGATTGTGTAGAAACTATGATTAATTAATTACTTTTAAATTTTAATAAAACAGCTGTAATGGCTTGTAGGCAATTTTAATGCTATTTGACAGAGTTTTTTTTAGAATGCATTAAGGCAACCTGCATTTTAAATAACATTTGGAAATATTTTTGAAACCTCTATAAAGGCATTTTATGTTGAAGAACGGAAAATAAAAATGAGTATTTTCATCTTATGCCTTTAAAAAGTACAGGGTGGGCAAAATAAAACTGGCCCAGAAAATATTTAGAAGATTTACGTGGAATTGACTCTTTTTGATGATGTAGAACATGCTGGAAATGGCCACCTTTGACCAGAGGCGTAGCTAGGGCTTTCAGTGCCTTGGGACAATTAAGGAGTTTGCCCCCCCCCTTGCTGTGTTCCAAGAATGGAAAACATTTCATTCTAAAACATGTAGCAGCAATTTGGCACCCCTGGATGCTCCTTCCGGGGACAGATGTCTCCTCTTGCCTATCCTAGCTATGCCACTGCCATTGACGTCGAAGCAGCACCCTGCTTGATTTATCAAATGGTGAGATACGTGTAGCAGCTCTGCCTGAGGGATAGCAGCAACTGCATTTTCAATGTTCTACTATGAGGATTATTTGAGTACACTTGACCCTTCAGTTTTACTAACAGGTAAATATCACACATGCATGCAAGAGGAAGTGAGCACAGGACAGAGCATGCAAGAGATGCTGTGAGAGCAGCCGATGGTTATATTGACACCACCAGTGGCCATTTCAGGCATTTTCTGTAAAGGGAAATTTTCCTGTTCATGAACAAGGATACATTCTGTGTCAGGATTCTAATTATTTTTCCAGGCCAGTTTTATTTTGACCACCATGTATATGCCATATGTAAATTTTTCCGTGGTAGTCTTATAGGTGGTATCATGTCCACTTGAAAATGATAATGAAAGTTAATTAAATAATTTATTTGCATTTGATAATGTTACTTTTTTCTTTTAACAGCTGGAATATTGCATGAAAATGTTAATGTAAACAGTGTAACAAAAAACAGTGTTTTTAGAGTTCTTAATTTCTTCAAGAAAATATTCTTGCCAGTTACTGAATAAAAATTAATTTTTCTACACTTTTTTGTACCCCATACATTCAATGTCCTTTTTTCACAAGGCACTTATAGTTACGAATTTCATTATTAGAGAATACATTGCAGCAGTTGCAAGACTGAGATACATCTTAGATGTGCTATACATTTTTCATAAAAAAGATCGGTGAAAGCTAGCATTTTAATAAGAAATATTAGCAAAACTGTAATCCTCATAACAAGCCATTAACTGATAATATGTTAAGATTTAAGAAATACAATATTATATTTTTGAAATATTTTATTTTTAACCATTAAGATTAGCATTGGTTTGATGCATAAGTTTACAACATTTCTTTTGAAATGTTTTTCGTACATATTGTGACAGTGGCAAAGGATTCTAATGCATTAAATTAATAGTAAATTATAGTATAGTAATCGTATCTCACATCCATAGCAGTCTGAATAGTTTCATTTCAGCTACACACTCCTCCCCCTGGAGGCTGAAGTTAAAATGAAGAAATATCTCTGACATGTAATTAGTAGTGAAGTAACAAATTAATGATTAAAATGAGTAACAAATTCTCTTTTGCTTTCATCTCTGACATGTTCTGTGCAAGTTAAACAAAGTTATTCAAGAGGCTTCCAGACAAAGTTACTCTGTGTATGGAGAGCATGTTGCTGCTGAAAGGATAGCATGAAAATGTGCTGACAGGTTTCACAATTGATAATTGATATTCAATTGCAGAAATTTTGATCTGTGCAATGTTCTGTACTCTGGTTGCTCAATCCACTTTGATGAGGAACATTTGAACAATTGGATTCATCTTGATCCCCATAAAATCGCTTGCAAATTTATCTTCTGTGATCAACTACACAGTGTTCATGCAACACTTCTAGAGAAAAGGCCAAATAAATTACATGGCATCATCATCCACATGGACAATGCCAAAATACCAGTGAAAGCTGCTATTCAACCTCTCACCTAGGAGATTGTTTTGACCCAACGTACGTATATACCATATGATGTATAGCCTTGTACTCTCAAATGCACTTCGTGGCAGATCCTGTATACTCCAATTATTCCCGATTCTGTGTAGTTTTTATGGAAATTCCTTAAAATGAATGAATATGAGCTATGAAAAAAACTACAGATTTTACCAAATGGAAAGCAAGGGAAAATGTATGCAAAATGGAACTAACTTATTCCTCCAATGATTGGTGAAATTCTCATGATATCTTGTTTTACGTGATAAATTGATGGCCTTGCTGATTTTGAAGAGTAATTAGTCGTAAATCAGAAAATTCAAACCCTTTTCTTTCCAG